TGTGTGTGTGTGTGTTTGCATTCGAGGATTACCAAAGTGACGTTTTCGTAATAGCCACTTTTATCCCTCTTTGACCTCAATATTTTGCAAAGCTGGCTTGCTGTCTTCGAAGATTTTTCTTAATGTTGGTCAATGAAAAAGGAGAAGCGTAAGAGCTGTTTACACGATGAAAAGGCAGCCGAAAGGGCGAGCAAGTGCAAGAAGGTAATACGCAGATCGTTAAAAGAGAAATGTACCCAATTTACCCAAGTCCCAGAACGCTATACATAATGTCGTACACGCAGTGATGGAACCAATAGACAATGGCGGCCCTGATTCTCTCTCTCTCTCTCAGTCTCTCTCTCTCTCTCTCTCTCTCTCTCTCTCTCTCTCTTCTCTCTCTCTCTCTCTCCACACACACACACACACACACACACACACACACACACACACACACACACACACACACAACTCCTACTCATTGTCCACTTTTCATTCATTAATCATTCCTGTGTTTTGAAATAATCTCGCTCACAAAATAAAAGATCAGTAGAATCTCGATCTGACGAATCCATGATTAGGTCTAGTTAGTAAGTAAGTAGCTTGCATGCCACTGCCAATGCGTTTCTTCTTTAATTTCGGAAGAAAGCTATCCAGGGTTAAAAACTCTTCATCTTCATCCAAAGAAGACAAAATGTTGGAATTAACAACACGTCGGTCGTTCACAACATGACACCTAACGTAAAGCCCAACCTGTCAAATCTAGATCTAGATCTAGTTCAGAGGAACAGTTAACGTGCGCTGAAAATAATAAAAATATGTGGCCTTTATGTTCTACCCTCGGAAAGATCGGCGCAGCGCGAATATGCCCATACGTCGCGAAACATATTCGGTGGCCTCTCTGTCCACACCCTCAGCGTCGATCTTCAGCCGCAATTAAGTTTTGGCGTTCTCTATGTTATCGCCCTATGTCTAGATCCTATAATATCTAGACCTAGATCTAGTTTAGATCTAGATCTAGTAGTAGGTATAGTATTACCAAAGATTCTCTACTTTCCAAGGCATTGCAACCCTTCTTTGGGCGAAAACGGAGACAAAAACCTATAATGCAGCGTATTTTTAAAACATTCTATGCATCTTAAAAGTTTCATAACTTGACGAAATCACAATAAAAATAAATATGATTAAACAATAACAGCAAACAAAAAGAAAACTAAAAAGAAAACTGAATTGAGCTTCAAACTCTTTAGGAAGACCGAGGCGTTGCAAGGGACGCGCAGCGTGACGACAGCACTGTTTCTAATCTTCTAAACAATGGCGACAAAGCGAGTTGTTTACGTGGGTGACGTCACAGCTGCGACCTCTGGTACTATTAGGCCCCTATAGGCCTAATTTATTTATAACATCTTTGGTTACGGCTTAGTATAGTAAATTACCTGCCCCTGCCACCTGCAGTGCTGTTTGGTCTCACTCAAAGATTCCTCTTGCGTTTTCAACAATATTTTATCGGAGACAAAAAAAGTAGTCATCTCCGATTCTATCAAGATCTAGGTCTAGATCTAGATATCTAGATCTAGAACCCGCTCGTTTCTTTTCTCTTGCATTGTGAAATACTCAGCGCTAAAGTAGGATACTTACCATGTCATACAGGGACCGTGACCGTGATCGTGGAAGAGGGTAAGTCAAGTGTTCCTTTCCAAAACACGAACTCGAAACTTGCAGCAGGAGACTCTCCAAACCAGAGAGCGTCCCCAAGTCTAGATCTAGATCTAGAATCTAGATCTAGATATCTAGATCTAGATCTAGAATAGATATCGGCCAGCCTACTGTCTGGACTCTGCCGTTTGTGGGAAGATTGGGACTGGGTAAAAGTGAAGAATACCGGACCAGCGGACTGACTTTGCTTGTCTCAACCGTCGTAGGAATTCATTTCTCTCAATGGAGAATCTCGGACCGGTAGATCTAATCTAATCTAGAATCTAGAATCTGTTATTATATATTTAAACGATAAATGATAGCATAGATATATCTAGATTACATAGACTCCCAAAAGTTTCCCACAAACTTAAAAAAAAGTGGTTGCCATGGAAATGGCAGCCACCTTGACAATAAACACCTCTTTTCAGTCTTGGTTTTAACACTTCTCTCTCGAACAAAGGAAATCAACATTTCGACGTTTTCCCCACTTAGTGCTTCCATTCTGCTTCGTTCTTTTGAAGTAGATTTGGCGGGAAATAAGCCCCGCCCACTTCACGAAGAATTCCGGTGCTGAAGAAAAAAGTTTTGCTCCCTCGTGCGAAACAAAATCTTCGCATGCGAATTTCGGACTCGGTCATGCGAAATTCCGGTAGATCTAGATTTCTATATGGATTTACACAATGGCAAAAAGGTTGGTGCGAAAAAAATAGTTCGCACGCGAACTTCGCACCCGAAATTCGCATCGGTTTTTCGGGCATATAGATCTAGATCTATATGGAATGTCAGTAAAATGTATTATTTTAAAAGCTGAAGAACTGATTTTTGTTAGGATAGTTAGTTACTGGACAAACAATTTAAACAGAAAATATGCTTAGCCTGAAATATCTGAAAGGAATTTCTTGAGCAAAAATTGTGCTTAAAATACTATATTTATATCAACATAAAAATATAATGGTATCGCAGATAACACTTGGAGCAGGGTATTGAAAGTTGAGTGAAAAGGAGCTGTTGGGAACATTACAGAAAACAAAAGAAACATCATGTGTTCAGAATATTTTTTTCCAGCTTCCTGCAGGGCACATTAAGATAACTCTTGACTAATTAAATCATAGTAAACATGAATAAAATGGAATAATAAAAAAGAAAAGCATTATAATGAAATGTCAAAATTAACCACAAAAATCCCAAAGTGTTAGGAAGGTAACAGAGTTACTTTCCGGTGTAACTTTCCTATCAAAGATCAATTACTTCTCATATCTCCGAGAACACTTTGGTTGAACAAAAGTGGGGACCAGTAATGAGGGGATTTTCTTCTATTACATTTTGTGAATTTAAATGGTGCAGCATTTTAAGTAAATCGGTTTTTGAATTAGATTACCTTTGTTGGAAAGATTACATCGGACAAGATCGATGTTGTTGTCCAAATTCACATTCTTCGGTCCTAAGCCTAAGTTCTTGTTTTCTTTGCACTTGCACTAAAAGCCATGTAAATTGCAGCATATTTTTTAAACATTCTATGCATCTTAAAAGTTTCATAACTTGACAAAATCACAATAAAAAGAGAAAAAAAGCATTTTAACCTCGTGTTAGCAACATTACATTGCGTTAGGAACACATAACAAGGCTACGGCTAAGAACAGCGGACGACACACTGAAACAACCTGTACAGAGCCCCTCAATTTGGCAAGTGACGCCAAAGCAGGCAAACTAAAGCTGATAGGAAAAGCAGGTTCTAAAAATAGCTTTCGGAAACTCAGTCGATGACGAAGTTAGCGCAGAAACGAAAGTGCAGGAACATTACGTATGGAAGGTGTTTCAATTATACGAAAACACTGAAAATCAGGCTGAAATATTAAAAAATGGTTAATGTGTGCCAAAACATTGAAAGTCAAACATATGAATGTGGGAGAAAGCTATAATTGACAAACTCAATTCAAAATGTGCTACTGGCGTTAAAGGACCATCGCAAAACGGACGATGCTTGTAAAGTTTTTAACGTGATTTTTAGTCTAGGTTCATCGCAACAAAATCACATTCCAGCACTTTTTTTTTGGATAGGCAAAGTAGTTTAACACTAGAACCCCCCAAGTTTTTAGTTTTTAAGCCTTCCTGTCTTTTTTTGTAGGTGTTCAGGAGTGTTTAAAAAGTGCATATATAGCCTATATGCATTCATGTAACAAAATCGTACTGATTTTTAGACCTTTTTTTACAGAAAAATTATTTTAGTTTTTTTAGCTAGAAAGGTGCAACCATCCTTATGCATCGCAGCTTCATTATATAGTCGAAACTGCCTTAACGGAAACCTGTCTTTACCAAATCTCCCCGTTCCCCCCTTGATATATTCCTCTTTAATTACCTGTATAAAATGGAAACCTGTCCAATGCGGAAACGGAAAGAAAAATCTGCTCTTTTCCGAGGGTTTCACCTGTCTAAGACGGAAAATGCTTTGCCCGCTCAGCCCTGATTTGAAACAAAACTCGCAAGTTTGATTCCGCCGGCTCTAAACTTACCGCCATGGCCATGCCGCTGGGCGAGGAAGGGGAATAGGGGTGCAATGGGGGTAGAAGTTACCCATCATGTGAGCACTGAGCGCTGCAGATGGTCAGTGTAGTGTTGGTGTGAAATCTCACGACTGCCCGTGGGAGTGCTCAAGTAGCCAGCCACTGCGGAAACTTTCCTGGGTAGCCAGAAGCCAGAGGTGTGAAATTAGATTGACCAATGCCTGCTGCCCTGATCGTTGTTACAATGATGGCAGTGAGGGGTGGCATTGGTGGGTGGGACTAAGGGGGGAAGCAAAGGAGATGTTCAAATGTTTTTGTTTTTGATAGGTCAAACAGTGGTCCTAAGAAAGGCAAGCACTAATGGTAATTGGATAAGTAAGACTGACGCATGTCACTATCAGACAGGATAGCAGCTGAGAGGTGTGAAGTTTTGACCACTGCTTGCTGATCGGACAAGCGATCCTTGATCCCACTGGCTGGGCCTTTGAACCCCCCTAAATTCCCCTGTCTAAGACGGAATTTTATTCCCGCTCCCTTGCGATTCCGTCTTACACAGGTTCGACTGTATTTCTAAAGACCAATTGCTCCAATGTGGTTGCACTAGAATGCATTAAAATTACAACTTTGAAATTAGAACAGGCATATAAACGTAACTAGTACAGTAGTCTCTGCCTAAACGCACGCCATATAAAAGCACGCTCCGCTCAAACGCACGCTTTCGTCCTCTGACGTTTTTTTTTACTACATAATTTAGTCGTACAAACGCACGGTCACTCCCCCTAAACGCACGCTGCAATCTGCGAAACACGCTGACGGGTAAAGGTAAAGCTTGACCAAGGGAAATTACACTACGACTACTGTACGATCTGCACAGCTTGCTTTAAAAGACAAGCCTAGAAAACCAGATATTTTGCGAGACTGCCCCCTACGCCGAACAAAGAGTGTGATTGACAGCATTTTCAGTTCACACCCAACTTTCCAGACACATAGGTCTAGGACTGGTTGGTGATATGTTGGGGGGTGGGGGGACTGAAACGTTTATTTGATTGGTCACTGGAAATGCATCTCTTTGAGAGAAGGTTTCTGATTGGTGTTTGGGTGACTGCATCCATTGACTAATGTTTACATGTAGTTAGACCTAAGCCAATAATGCGCAACACGTGTGAATGCTCGTTCATGAATTAACGGTCAGGGGGTGGTCGCTTGGAAAGCCACGTGTCTGGGCCGTCGTCTCTATGACTATCACCAACAATTTCTTTTTAGGCTATTGGTTCCTGACATTTTATGGTGCATTCATTACATCGAGTCTGTTTTTCTGCCCCCCCCGCCCCCCCCCCCCCACACACACCCATTCAACGCCTTTGCAGTCTTAACCGCAATCGGGGAATCTTTTACAAAACAGTCCCGTGTCGTCGTCACATTATCGGCCCAAAGTGACCCCCACCCCAAAGGGAGGTCACTAGAATATCAAGGCAATGAGATGACTGTGTCCCTTCCTCCCTTTGCAAAGGTTCATGTTAACGCACACTCCGTATAAACACACGCTAAGGAGCCCTCCCGAGTACCGTTCGTTTAGGCAGAGACTACAGTAAAGTGGCCCCTACTGGTGGACTGACCCATATAATATAATAGCCTATTGATGGTACTGGTAGTATTATTTATTTTATATTTGGCCCAAAATCAAGCTGTACAAAGAGGAGAAAGGGGAAAAACGATCATTGCCCCAGTACATGTAGTAGTTACCATCGAGCAGGGTATACTGTATTGTTCGTGATTTTGGGTAATTATATTTTGAAAACTTGTGTATAACATGCACAATGTGTGTGTGTGCGTGTGTGTAAGTGAGAGAGAGAAAGAAAGAGAGAGAGAGAAAGAGAGAGAGTTCCATGAAGCTGAGATGTAATACATTTTCTGCCGGGGGTCCAGGGACAGCGGTGGGGGCTCAGGAGGCGCAGCCCCCAAAGAACTTGAAATTTAGTTTTACAGGGTTGAAAATGGCATTTGGGAACCTGATTGAAGAAATTGCCAACAACCCATATTTTTTCTTTTCACAAAGATATATTGTATTGTTGGATTTTTCACCAACATAACTTTCCATTGCTGGCAATGTTTAAAAGTAGGTTCCCCTTGCCATTGCTACTACTATAATCAATTAATTTGTCATCGCACAAATGGAGTGAGCATGTTATAAATGTGCCTGTATTGGCTGACGTATTGTTATGTCATTGTCTCTCAGGTACTCTGATCATTGTTCCTGCTTGAATGTAATAAACGTCCCAGAGTAGAGAAACAAATGAGCTTCATATATATATACTTCATTATGATCAGAGTACCTTCCCTTTCCTGGTGGCAAACTCCTCCTTTGCTCTTGACTGTGATAGCAAAGACACAGCCTCACCATTCCTACAGGCAAGGTCAGTACCTCACATGGGTATCACATCATCAAGCTACATGAGGATGATGTACACCTGACCACCTTCATAACCCCATGAAGTAGGTACAGGTATAAAATTGCCCCCCAAGGTTACATTGCGTCCGGCGATGGCTAAACCTGACGCTTTGACGAGATCGTGTCAGACATCACCAACAAAACCAAATGCGGAGACAATGCCCTGATTTGGTCCGACACCGGAGAAACTTTTTACAGACGGATCCAGAAATGACTCCTCAGTTGGAGCTGCTGCCCTTGCATCACCACACACCCTAAGCTTAAGGAAACTCCACCCAGAAGCCTCAATCTACACTGCTGAGGCTACATCTCTTGAAATCAACCAAGTCTACTTTCCTAATCTTTTCAGACTCTCTCTCTTGCCTGAAATCTTTAGAGCGCTCTGACATCTCCGACAACAGAATTTTAAAACTTATTTTAAATTAAACTGCATTTTTTACATCAATCTGGAAAAACTGTAACCATAGCTCGTCTTCCAAGCCATCTAGGCATTGGTGCCAATGAAGCCGTTGACCAATTTGCCAAAGAATCTCTGAAACTACCTGAAAACAAAAGTAGCAAAATCCCTTTCTCTGACATGTATAATATCGAAAGTAAAAGAACACATCACATCTTCGTGGTCCAAAATTTGGAACCAACAAATACACAACAAACCCCTTTACATTCAACCGAAACTTACACCCAGGAAACCCGTGTCTCTCCAATGAAGAGAGAATGTTATTTACACATGATTAAGAATAGGACACAGGCATGTCATGCACATACATACATTGTACTCGAAGCCTGAAAGGAAGCTCCTTTTTGCGTTGCGTGCAATGTGTATTTTACAGTTCTGCATATCCTGACGGAATGTGTCGACTTCAACCATACGTATTAAATACTTCAAACCGATAGTCCGAAAAAAATCTGAAATTTTATTTGAAAAGAAATACGATTGTATGATAGATATAATATAAATGTATCGTTGTCGTTGTCAGTGTATAATAATAATACTCTGAAATTAATATTTGTAAATTCAATGTAAACAAGAGCCTTTATACCATAATTTACCAAAATTTTCATAAATGTCTGTCCGTCCTTTTAACATGATGACAGTGTGCGGTTGCGAGCGCCGAAAAAACTTACTAAAACATGACATGATTCTAGATTTGCTGCTGTTGGAACTTACATGACCTAAATGAGTCGATAGTGCGTAAAACACCTACTCAATCAATCAATCAACGACCGGGGCAAAATTCAAAATTTCCTACCAACTGAAATATTTAGTGTATCCTGCACGCTGATATGACCTTATGCAGTTGCGAGCGCCGTAAAATATTTTTAATCTAGCATCTTTTTTATCGAATCGCGGCCGCGATTTTTTGGCATTTTTTGGTCGGCGAATCGCGGCCGCGATTTTTGCACTTTTCCAACAAAAAAACACCGCCGGGAAGAAAAAATAATTTAAAAACAACAACAAAGACGGGGAATAACATTTGCACACACACAAAAAAAAATCCAACCTCTTTACTTTTAAAAAGAGTTTATTTTCACTTTCACTTCACTTCGTCTCTTTCTCACTTGTTAAAAACACGTTGATTTGTAATTTTCATGTGAAGAATATCATACAAGTAGGCTACATAACATACTATTTTGCTGTTTCTCTTTCATGTTTCCCTCTTTGTTGTGTTTTAATTTGTTGATGTGTTAATTATTTTCTTCTCGCTTTTGTTCTGATGTGTTGTTTTTCTTTTTTTTGTGTGTGTATCGTAATGTTCTTCCTACCTTTTAAAAAAAAATGTGTTATGTTCGAGCGTGTCTCCACCAAAACCGAATACATGTACTGACACTGGCAGGCCCCTTGTGTGTGATTCCATAATCTACATGTTATATCCTGTACTTTTTCTTGAATAACTGAGGTTTAGGGTTAAAACGGCCAATCTAAGGATGGGTTGACACACGCCCTTATTTGCTAATTTCTTTGATTGTTTATTAATTTGCTGTTCTAATTTTGATTTAATTCTGTTGTGAAACCTTTATATTTCACGTTTTACACTTTGTGTGGCTACAAATGATATTCTGGATGCTTAAAACAGAGCACAAAAAATTCTAGTGTTTTAGGTTAAGTTACCTCTATCAACCTATTGCTATATTATGTCGTCACGGAGAGCAGAAAGCTTGAAAATTAATAACAACTTTTTGGGCAACTTTTGCCATTTTTGTGGCAACTTTTGGCAACTTTTGGAGGAAAAAAAAGGCAACAAACGCAGATGCTAGTTTAATTAACTAAAGAACCAGCAAAACAACAACAAAAAAAACAAAAAACCCCCTCTTATTCTTACTAAATTAAACCAAAGGAAGTAGATCTAGGCCTGTTTTAAAAATGTACAAAATTCAATGATCTGTTCTCCGTTGTTGATCCCACCAGGTTTCTTGATTTTATTAAGGCAGTTGGCCTTTACAATAGATTGCACTGTATACCGTTATAATTTTAATGTTGGAGCTATCTAAAGTGTCATTTTAAAACTACCTGAGATTTTTACCCTGAATTTTTAACATTTTACTCTGATCATTAACCAAAATCAAGCCGCGCTGTAAACTGTTATGAATGCAACCAACATGTGTTTCGCTCGCTCATATGACCACATTCAGTTGTGAGTTGTGAACGCTGTAAAACTCGTTGACTTGCTAAACTTAACTAAACTTCGACATGGGAGAGCCTTGCTCTTGACAGACCCAGCTAGAGAGAAGCAGTCACAGTGGATAGCAAATCATATATGAGGTTTCACAAGAATAAGAAATGCTGAAACCAAGAGAGAAGCCAGCAAGCTTTGTACATCCCCAAGTGGAAGTGGAGCAATTATTAAATACAGGTGTTCAATGGCAAACCTTTCTCTGCCAGAGTTGGTCTCATCAGCCTTTGGCCGCAGCAGAAGCCACAAGTCATCGTAACCTTTAATTAATTCCTAAAAATTTTTTTTCCGGCGGAGAAATATTCTCCTCTCCGGATCATGTATTTGTCATCATCGGACATTGATGGATGAGATATTATAATAATTAATTATATTTTTATTACATGTGCAATGTAGGCCTATAAAAACTATAACTTGCAACAATCTTCAGTATTTTCAAATCTATTTTCCAACAGACCAAGCAGATCAGACGGTGGTCCATTTTCGAGAGGTCGCTATGACAGAGATCGAAGTAATAGTAGAGCCAGTTATGACAGAGGGGGCATGATGGATCGAGGCAGGATGTCCCTGAAAGGTTCTCAGCCAGGCCAGAATTTACGCAAACCACGATGGGATCTGGCGCGTTTGTCCAAATTTGAGAAAAATTTTTACAAGGAGCACCAAAATGTATCAAGGCGAACGCAGGTCAGTATTGCAGTGAGTGTATCTGTTACCTCTCCCTAGGAAATAACCTTTTCTTCAGCATTTGCCTGTAGTGTCAATAATGGTTAAGCCAAACTGCTCTTCATATTATATGTATACACAGCGGAAATGCAAACTTTCCACTTGTAGAAAAGCCTGTTTTGTGGTTATTATTCAAGATATAAAAACCAAAATTGATACAAGTATACAAGCATATCAAAGTATGTCAAGAAGTGTATTACTTTTTGTTTCTCAATCTTGTCTCATATTATGGTACAGTGTTAAACACAAACTGGTACCCCTTGATTTTAAAATTTCAAAATTTCTCGTCAGTAGCGTGCATTGTAGCCCCTTGCAATGATGCAAGCTTGGCATGTTCTGCGCATTGACCGAGTCAGTTTTTTGTTTCTTATTTTATTAATTGTTGTGGCAGACTATTCCACTTTTGAATCAAAGCTTGTACCAGTCGTTGTACAATGTTGTACAATCCCCATTAGGCCCAGTCAGTCCAAGCGTAATTATTGGAAAGATTGCAAACGCTGGTAATTATAAGGCTGCTTTGCTCGATGTCCGAATGTGTTTTAAGGCCGTAGTTGTATCCTTCCATCGCTGAAAATTCTTCCAGTTCCAGTGTCTGTATCAAACTGATGTGAAGAGCTGGTCTTTGTTAGAAAGTGATTTCTAAGATACCAGAGCAGTATCTGTCTGTCTTTTTGGGCGGTATTGTCCTGTGGTCTGCTTGGTATGGGTCTCAGGGTCTGTCAGGTGTAACTCCAGCAACTTGGAACCAACCTTTCAGGATGGTAGGATGGGAGCATTGAAGCATCCGGGCCACTCTACGGGCCGATAGTACAACTTGCAGTATTCAAAGGCTTATCGAAGGACTTTAGAATCCTGGACACACGAAGAGGATCTGATACAGAAGACTTGTTTTCGTAGAACAATATGATGGAACTGCGAGTTACTATTTAAAAAAATTATATTCAGTTGACGTCTTCATATTCCGAGTTGCTGTTAACAGTATCATTTGTCACGGATAATACAGCCTGTGAATTTAAACCGAATTGATCTTTCTTTGTATTTTTATTGTTATTTGGAAGTTACCATTTAGGCGTAAGCCACTTAATGAACGAATATATGCTTTAGAATACAAATGCACGTACTAACGTATCCAACAATCTAGTAACGTAAGCCACACATCGAGGCTGTCAGTGACGTAGCACATACTAGCGTGTCAGACAAAAAGGTCATTTTTCCTTCAAAACCAACTATTCTCAGAAAGATGCTTCTAGCCAATTGAAAAGTAGTTGGCCCACACACGTTATGTCAAAATATTAACTGCAGAATCGGCTATTTGACGCCAGAATAGGATAGTGAAAATTGCCCAAATCTTTAAACGTCTGTCCTGCAAAACTAACAAAATGTGGCTTACGCTAGTTCGTGTTTTGAGGGACCACTTGTGTTGTATGTATTCAATTTTTTAAATTTCATGTTTTACAAGTGCTCAATGTGGCCACCATCTGCAGCCCGGACAGCATCAAGGCGATATGAGAATTCCTCCCGAATGCGCCTGTAGCTGTTATTTAATCTGTCATGCTATCGCTGTTTGCTAGAAGTGGTGGAATATAAACTTTGTCTTTAACATACTCCCACAAAAATTCATACACAGGTCCAGGGTTCTGGTAGGCCAACCGCAGAGAGCGAGGTCTTTAGCACCACTCCTTCTGATCCACCACTGAGGCACTTTTTCATTCAGATAAGCTCAAACCCAGAGATGCCAATGGGGTGGTGTTCCATCTTTTTGAAAAATTAAGTCATTCGAATCTGCGTCCAGTAAAGTGAATAGCCAGTTCTAGTTGTGGCATTACCAATTGCTCTTTTGTTCCAATTTTTGACAAGTTATCAGTCCTTATTGATTTATCATTCCCTATAATGTTATTGATTATGTTGCTTCATCAAGTTTTTTTCAACACTTGGCAGTTTCACTGTATGTACATGTATGTTCAATATAATTCAATAATATAAAATATATTGAAAAAATGCAATATCACCTCAAATTCAACAGCCTGAGATCCAGCTATTTTACACTCAACATCAGATCACCGTAAGTGGCAAGAATCTACCAAAACCAATGTATACCTTTGAAGAGGGACTTTTTCCAGGTAAGTTGTTAAGTACTGGGGATTTTGCTTTTGCTCTTTAGCTGTTGTAAGTATGGAAAGTTATGACTGCACTCCAGTAACTGGGCAAGAGGATAAGGAAAACAGCGTATGATGATTAGCTTGTTATACACACTGTAAAGGGTTGGGTTTTTTTTTTGGTTTAAATTTTATGTCACTCTGAATTTTCAAAGACATCAGTTGGTAAGGATATGTTATGATTAAATACTCAAACTCAAAAACTTATTTTCCTTTGTGTCATCTTTATTAATCTTTTTTTTTCTTTTCAGTTATTTGTTTTGTACTTTGTCCAGGAAGAAGGAGGTCACTGAAAGACAAATCAGAAAGAATATATCTTGTGTCACAATTGAGTGGAATCAGGCGCTCATCAATTTTGGGACATATGGAGTTATTGGTATCATCTTATTGATTGATAAAAAAAACCCCAAACCCATCTGTCTTGAATAGAGAAGTCGAGATATTTGCGAATAAAGGAGATTGGGGGTTGTCAGAGATAAAATTACAGAGAAAATGCCTGCCAAAATTTGGTAACTTCTAAAGCTTGGGTGTCCTTGGAAACTGCAAATATTTTTTGTTGTCTTCAGAATAATAATCCACACAGATTTCTAAATGGTTATAAAAGGTGCTGAGCCCCCCCCCCCCCTTTAAAAAAAAACAAAACAAAGAAAATAAATAAACTGGATATATAAAAATTTCCTAATGGGTTAAAAAAAGCGCGTTTAAAAAAAATTTCATTACTCTGACAAGCGTCTGATTTCACCACGATGCTGCATGTATAAAAATGCTCTTCGAAAAAAGTTAGGGAACACCGTTAATTTATATATACAGTCAAACCTACCCTGACGGCTACCTGCATAATATGGCTTTCTGTACAAACCACCGCTTTCCATTTCCCCCCTTTCATGTTTTCTATAGATATGTATAATTTAAGTATATAAAACGGTCACCTGTCCAATGTGTCCGAGGCCACCTTATTTAATCAACCCACGGTCAAGTGTACCTGCCTCAGACGGCCAGGTATAATCACTCGTAGCCGGACACTTTGTCATAAATTTTGAATCGCTCCTCACTCTGTGGACGACCCTTCATAATCCATTCACCTGTCAGTCCCTCCAATTGATGTTTTCCCAAGTTGACCAATGAGTAAAAATACATTTTAAACTGCTGGTGAGAGAAGTGTGTGATCCGTCATAAACTATAAGCCCGCCCACAACTCGTGCACAAATTGTATGTGAGGTGACTGGTCTCTGTTTTGTTTACCTAATCTGTAACAAAGTAACAATGGACGTTGATGTGAACTTGCAACAGGACCGTTGCTCGTTCTCCGAGTGGTGGAGGCTCGTGTGTTTGCTTTACCATGGCATGCGGTCTTCATTGTTTTATGTTTCGTACATTTTACCCTTGCACAAAATCAGCAACAAAAAGAAGCTCACCAAAAAACAGACCAACAAAACAACAACAGCGGCAACCATCGCACTGTTGTGTCTTTGGAAATGAACAGGCAGACAGGATGACCAAACTAGGCGCACAGAAAGAGCAGCCAGGCAACAGCGCCAACCATACAGAAATAAAAACTATTTTAAAAATTAATACTTTCAAGCACCACAGACACCATATAGCTACCTTGAGCTGTCCCGCCAAGAACAAGTGATTATCTGCCGAATAAGAGTGAGACAACATATTACAGACAATCACCAAAATGCCTGTGTGGACGGGCGGACCAAACAGTGGAACACATCTTTCAGCACTGCAAGACACACAGGGCCCTGAGACAGGAATCATGACCAACCCCACTGACACTACAAGAGAAGCTATACAGGCCGACAGATGAACTGAGCAGGACAGAAAAACAACCCCCACCCCCAACAAACCTTTTCTTACACCACTCACCCCCCTTTTTCAAAAGAAAACCCAAACCAACCTTTTTGAATTAGTCTTATGACAATCCAAAGCCTACAGTTTTGACCTCAGAAGAGAATGATATGCTTTCTTCATTTTGATCAGTCCTGCCAAAGATGGCCGCCTGTGCTACACGGCCACTTTTCTCCTTGACAATGGATGGGGCTCTATATACTATATATTATGCATTTTTCATGTGACGTATGTAAACTTTTGTTATACTTTACAAAATGATACCTGCTACATTTTTAGTAGCCAAGTTAACAATGTGTACTGTAAACAACTTTGAAACAAATTGTGCTTGAATTGTAGTGTGAATACAAAGCATGCGCTAAAACGTGCGGATTCATGGAAAAGTTGCTTGTTTTTGAAAGGCAAAAAAAAAAAGAAAGAAGTTATTCCTTGTCTTAAATGTATTAAGAAAACTTTCACGAGGTAAATCATTATGTTGAATGAACACTACACCCATGCAATGACTATAAAAGCCTTGCATTAAGTTGAATATATTTAATTGCCAAACCGTATGCCTAGGAGAATGTGGAATTTGCTAGACAGAGGAAGAGTCACTGGTTTGTCTCGAAGATGATGTTTCTTTGAGGGAGGTGGCTTGGAGACTTGCTGTTTCGCCTTCTGTAGTCAGCTGACATACAAGACCAGTACCAACAAATCGCAAGTACTGACGAACGCTGTCGGCCTGGGAGGCCCAGGTCAACCACTGCGAGGGAGGGCTGATTCATCCAACGCCAGGCTGTTGCAACCCGAACAAGATTGAAGAACAGCTAGCATCGTCTGACAGCGTCTCAGACAAGCTACTCACACAAATGTCAGCACTCAAACTATTACAAATCCCCTCCACAAATTTGAGCTAGATCTACATTTTAGACATCCCATCCACAGACATCGGCTCACACAAGATCACCGAGAAGTACGCCGAAGGTGGATTACATAGCATCAGAGGTGGACACGAGCAGGCTGGGGCCATTTCCTCTTCACTGACGAGTCGAGATTCCAATTGGAGCTGCACGACGGCTTCATTCAAGTGTGGAAACGTTATGAACAGTGCTTTCAAGATGACTACTTCCAGGACGATAACACCAGGCCACACCATGCTCGTGTTATCAATGATTTTATTGCTCAAAATGGAATTAACAGACTGCCTTGGCCCCCAAATAGCCCTTATCTCAACCCAACTGAACATTAGGGTGGACGAGTGCACCGTGTTCAGGAAATTTACCCACTAGCACGAACTGGAACAATCTTCAGCAAGAGTGGATAGCTATTCAACAAGTGTTCCTGATAAGCTTAGTTAGGTCTATGAACAATAGGTTCAGAGAGTGCTTGGCTAATAATGGAGGACACACTGGTTATTGAGCCTTGTGTTGAAAGCATTTTTTTGTGAGTTTTGATTTCGGGGGGTACCCATTTCCATGGTAATATTGTTGTTGGGGTTGATTTGTTGCAATGCTTGATGTTATCACCTATGTTTTTTTAAAGATATTAAATAACTCTCTGTAAAAAACATACTTGTTTTTGCCTCTTTGTTCTCTTTTTATTTCAATTCATTTATGTGCTCCCTAATTTTACTCGAAGAGTATACAAGTTAAGTGTCAAAGGCAATTACAGTTTGTCCTGGAGTGTAAGTTTTAAAGCAATAGTCAGTATTTACTTCACAGGAGTCGTATTTGTCAGTTTAAAGACTGAATATATATACATTGATTGTCACTTAAGAAGTACCTGACTTCCATTTGTTTCTATACCCTTACTCTTTTTTTCTGCAAGACTATGTCATGAACCAGATTCGCAAAAACAGCTGGACTGCACCAACACCCATTCAGTGCCAGGGGTGGCCTATAGCTTTGTCTGGACTGAATATGGTTGGAATTGCACAGACAGGCTCAGGAAAAACTCTAGCAGTAAGCAGTGCTTTATTGTACATTTGTAAGTAAGTCAACTGAAATTAAAAACTTAAAAATTATCTATTGTTTTCATATGTTTGATGTAAAATTAATTATACTATTATACTATATTGGCAATTCTCCTGTAAACTTGAATTTTACGTAACACGAGTATCAAATTTTAGAATTCAACCAAATAGCTTGAAAATGTAGCCTACCCAGTACACCTTTGAAAGTCTAGTTTTGATCCGTACAAGGCAGCTTGTTTGGTTTCTTTGGAAACGGAAGTGAAGTTTAGACTAGTGCGCTATGGTCTTAAATGTTACTGGACACACCAATTCCAGTCAAAACATGAAGTATAATAGAGGGAAAGAAAAATTGATTGGGGAAATTTCGTCAGGTAAATTTCTTTTCAAGGCCTAAATGTGGCCTAAATAAGGTTAGGGAGGGGGGGTTTAGCTTATTTAGGCCATATGTGGCCTAAATAAGGTAATCCTTTTTTTTGTTGCTGCGAAATACTGTAAAAAAATGATAATGAATTTTGATTTGAAAATAGTACCCTTTAAATACCTGACTATCCAGTTGTTAAGTAATCCCCCCCCCTAGTATCCCATGTTTCCCAAGTGTCATTGTTTTTCTTTTCTCTTCCAGTTCATTCTTCCTGCAATTGTGCATATCAACAACCAACCATATTTGGAGCGTGGAGATGGACCAATTGTAAGTGATAGAAAATATACGGAAAGTATGTCATCTCTGCGCTAGCAAAATACAGTCAAACACGGGTAACTCGGATTCGGCGAGGATTGGTACAAGTGTTTGACATTCTGGTAATTCGTCTCGTCCGCGAAAGCCCCAGATACAAAGAAATAGAGAGAAAATCGAGGGAGGTAAAAAACCCATTCCTTCAAATTCCTTCAATTACCAGGTTGTTCATTGCACACAAGTTCTTTCATCTAAATAATAATGGTGAAATTTATATCAAAGAACTTATGTGCATGGACTGCTTTCCCATCACATCAAATCTTATGTTGTCTGTCCCACCTTCATATCTCCCATCAGAATGTCGACATCATTTGTAGGGTAGTGATTCAGAAAACTTTGAAGCTAGTCGTTGCATCTCTCACTCTTTACTTGCATCCGCAATATCATTTGTGGGTGCATAACACTGAACGATGTTCATCTTGATTCCTTTGTTCCTTGACTTGAATGAGACCGTGATAAGCCTTGGCCCAAGTTCCTCCCACAAAGTGGTTTTTTTTTAGCTGGTCAGGACCACGTGAATGTCATTCTTGTGTGTGCTGAGCTGTTGTCCATATGTTCTGAATATTGAATAACTTCCCCAGGCGACAGTGCTTCCAATCTTCCATATTTTTACGGAAATCTGTACTTTCTGACAATTCCATACTTGCTCCCCCATCATTATCAACTCCGTCCGTAAAAAAATGCAATAACGCAGGGCTACCGAAATTCCGGAGCAAAGTGTCCGTAATCACCACTTGTGTAAGTTACGGATATTTACAGCAATTCTGTCTGCAACAGGTTAATGCATTGGTATAGGAATCTGCCAGACCTGGGAGTATGAGGAAATCTGTGAACTGCTCCGGGAAAGACGCGGGTAAATACATAAAGTTCTCGAATATTTGAAAACCAGGATAGGTCAGTAAATTCATTTTTGCCGGTAGCGATTGTGATGTTCGTTCGGGTTTTCCCAATCTGAGAGTACGTTTGATGCGAACAGGGAGCTATGGTGGCAGGCGGAAGTGTATGTGACACTGAGATTTGATTGGGATAATCAAGATCTACTTTGGCTTTCGTTACCACCCAAAATATGCCTGTGATAGTCTGATACCGCAACATTTGTGGCATGCTGGTCGTGCATTATAAATGCTGTGTCACCACGCAAATAAATCAATATTTGTCACTTGTGGAAAAAAGACCAAAAAATGCAAAAAGTGTCTTCCCATTTTCAGCTTGTCAGGCTCATCATTGTTACTGGTCAGTGAACCTGCATGCGTTCTCATCACAAGCTACAGCATCTTGTGAGTGTGAGTAGCGGCTGTTGTTGGGTTCGTCAAAGTTAAATCAAAGTCGGAGTGTTGCGAAATATGGCTCTGAAATGATTGGGAATGATCAATTTAAAAAAAAGATACTCTCCGGGGTGCTGAAGGCAACTTGATAACAGGTTTTAGAATTTTGAATAGAGCTCTCTGCAAAGCGCGCTTTGGTGCAGGCCTTGAGTGGAATCGGGATCCACCATACCTTGTAAGCCTTGTTTTTGAGCTAAAGTGTTTGTGTTTCATTGGATGGATGATAGTGATATTAAATTGTTTAAGCTTTCTGTTCAAGATTAGATTAGCAGATTTTCAGTGTCACTACATCCTGCTTTCCCTCAGTTCTTACAACTCAAAAGAACTAAATTTCAATTTCTTCGGGGGCTTTGCCGGCCCCAGACCCCCGGCATAATTCTCCTTACTTTTCATCTTCAGCTGTTGGAAGCACTGCTAGTACTACTAATATAATTGTTATGCATTGTCCTGATTCAGCATCAGCAGCAAGGAAACTGCAAAGCTTCATAAATGGATATCTAAGAAGGACAGTGGGGATCAAGTGGTACGATCAAGTCACAAATGCTCAACTGTGGGAAAGAACAAGCCAAAGGCCAGTAAAGGAAGACGTACAGGTGTGGAATGGATTGGACACACCTTGAGGAGACCCCCGACAAGCATCATCAGACAGGCTTTGACGTGGAATCCACAAGGAAAATATAAGAAAGGAAGACCAAAGATGACATGGAGGCAAGCGGTACAAGCAGAAATGGAAAAGTGGAGGACATCATGGAAACAGCTAGAAAAGGATGCACAGGACTGGGTTCGCTGGAGAAATGTTGTTGATGGCCTATGCTCCTTTGGGAATTAAAAAGGGCAAAAGAGAGGTTGTCCTGATTTGTTCCTTCTCATTTCACGAAGTGTGGAAATGCCAACCTTGTATCTTTTCCTTTCTGCAGTTACCTGAAACGTTTTACCAGTTAAATGCATGGTCCTTACATTCCATATCTCGAATCTTGTTGTCCTGGTCAACAGTCAACAAATCCGCTAGATGGCTCCCGAACAGCTTTCGCCACCTGATTTCATTATTCTATAATTTACTCCTTCAGGTTCATCGGCATCTCCAAAGATGTTTACACTTTTAATTACTTTTGTTGGAGTTTCTGTGGCTCAGATGTTTTTACAAGATTATGTGTGCTGACCCCTTAGTACAACCTCCATCCTGGAGGAGAACCAGGTGACACATTTTGGCAGCCACACCTTGGAGTCTTTAGTCACCTTTTATGACACTCAAAGTGAATGTCAGCCTTATTCTTCTCACCACGAGGTCTACACAGCTATCAAGAAAATTACTTTTGGTTATTGTTTGTTTGTTTTTGTAAAGTGTTTTACGGCGCTCGCAACTGCATAGGTCATATGAGCGCGCGGGACACACCTAATATTTTCAGTTGGTAGGAAATTTTGAATTTTGCCCGGGTGGCGGCCGAAGCCTACTCTTATCGATTTTAGACCACCAAGGGATCTTTAACGTGCGCAACTTGCACACGGGCCCTCCGAGATTTTTCGCCCTTGTCCGAGAAGGCTAGGTGTAGATCTTTCCTACCAGAAGATCAGTGGTGTGGCAGAAAGACAGCAGTAAGGAGGGGCCAAGGAGTAGCAGTAGAAAGGCTGTAGAAAGAGTCAGGAGCCCAGAGGAGGGGGCAAAGGAGGTGAGGGGGTGGGGGCAGAAAGTGGAAATGAAAGCAGACAACAGAACATTGCTAGAGAGCAGGGAAGGAGGTGAAAGGAGACAATTTTAGAGAAGAAAATTTTTTGGTCGATACCCGGATTCGAACCTGGGACCTTTGAATGAGAGGCTAACACCTTAACCTCTAGGCCACGAGAGCCCCCTACTTTTAGTTTATGTAGTAGATCATAATCCGCTAACTTTCTCACAAATTTAATCTGGCCGTAGTTTGGATCCTATATTTAGTAGACTTTTGAATACTTGACTTTGTTTTCTTTTGTTCGTGTTCAATGGCTGCGATCATTGTTTAACATGGTTTATGTTGCAGTTGAATGTGGCCAAGAACCTTGAAAGCATTGCACAATTTTTAAGATGTGTCTAAAATGTATTTCTAAAATGTAGCTTGCAAAATTGTACATCTCAGCCAGGCCAGTTTTATTTTGGCACAACTCATAATGAAACATATATTATGCAAAATGGCACAACTCATGTACATCCCATTATTTAAAAGTTTCATTCATTATTTTACCACAATATTGTTTAGCAGTGACTAAAAAAATGTGCATGGAAAGTTTTACCATTATAAGATGATAAATGTTCTTTTCAAACAGTTTCCCCATTTATCTCAAAAGTTACAAAAATGTGATTACTGTTTTGCTGGGGCAGTGATGATGTTCATTGTACCCGTATGGTACTTGCTCCCGGACAGAAAGCATGAGATATTAACCCAAGTGCAAGAGGGCTATCCATACAATATTTGAGAATTCAGAACCTCTATAATACAAATGTATGTGATTCTGTTTTTGAAAACCTATTTATTATGTTCTTGATCAACAATTCCGTCTGTCTTGTAGTTTTGCACCCCACTGTGGGTGTTATGTTGATTATCAATCTAAAGACATTTTTTACCCATTTTTTTTTTTCAGGCTTTGTTTTGTCATGTGCTTTTGCAATAAGAGTGATTGAATATTTTGTTTTGCTGAATTTCAGTGTCTTGTTCTAGTTCCAACTCGAGAGCTAGCGCAACAAGTACAGCAAGTGGCGCAGGAGTTTGGTAGAGCTTCACAAATCAGAAATGCTTGTGTGTATGGAGGGGCTCCGAAAAGACCTCAGCTGAGGGATCTTGAACAAGGTAATTTAAGTATTAATATAAATGTACAGTCAAACTTAGTTGTAACACCCCCCCCCCCCATTATATTGCCAGCCCTGCTTACCACCAAGTTTTGCCATTGTACAAAAAGAAGTGGCTATATAGACGTAATGTTTATGCATGCACATGCACCATTCGCTCATTGTTTGGGTTGTACGATCCTTATTTAACTAATGTAAAATTGTCCCACCATACCGTCAGCAAACTGATCGCTAGAGGTAAACACCTCACCTGGTGCATGACACAGGGCTGCCTAAATCTACCGATTTTTCCAGTAGATACCGATTTTGGGCCTGTTCTACCGCCATACCGATAAGGTGTCAAAACTACCGGATTTGCGATGGGTGCCGAAAGAAGGGGGAAAAGAACCACATCCGTACATTCTGAAATTTCCGTAGGCTACTTGCCGCTTCATCTTATCAACTCGAGAGAGAGAGAGGGAGGGAGGGAGGGAGGGAAGCAGCAACAGCAGCAGCCTCTGTAACTTGTCAGATATTTACGGCAACTCTCGGCAACAAGTCAATAAATGTTGTATTAGAAACTGCCAGATTGCGCATTTCATACACTTGACCATTGTCTATCTGTGCCGTTCGGTCGGCAATAGTTGTTCAAGTGCATATCGGCTGAAATCTGTCTACTTAGGATAGATAATCTTCCTCCTTCCTTTCATTCATTCTTTCTTTCCGTCTATATTCGGGTTTTTGCTGAGGCTGGAAAATCTGTTCATTTAATTCATTTATCTAGAAAACAGAATTGTAAATGTAGAAAGAAAATCGATATCGAAGCAAAACATTTAAAAATCTGTCTTGGTCTAGAAAATTGGCCAGTACCAAATGAGGATTCTACACTCGGGGACTGCGGGAATCTGAAAAAGAAAAAAATCGCAGAGACCCGAGAAAATGCACAAAGTCCTCGCAAATCTGAAAAGGCTACTGAGTTCATATTTTACCGGTCGCATTTGTGGTATTATGTTCGGCTTTCCTCAGTCCGAGAGTATGTTTCACACAAATAAGCGGCTATGGCGGCAGGCGTAAGTGTAGGTGTAATACTGAGACTCCATCGGGAAAATCAAAATCTGCTTTCGTTACCGCTCAGAGTTGTCCGATGATAGTTTGTTAAGGGCGATAACATAGAGAACTCCGAAACTTGAGCGGCTGAAGATCGACGCTGATAAGCGCCAGTAGGTGTCTGTTGACTCCACATAGAGGGCGCCTAAGGCCTAGAACTAGATATAAGAAAAAAATTACACCTCAACACAACTGGATTATTGTGGAACAGTCCCTGGAGTGAAACTCCCAGCTGATCGTCAACTTCCTTGACTATGAGAAGGCTTTTGACGGTATAGACCGAGCAACACTATGGAAAGTACTGAGACACCACAGAATCCCACAGAAGTTGGTGAACCTCATCAAGAGCATGTACGAAGAGACAAGTTGCAGGGTTGTACATGATGGCCAGCTTACTGACAACTTTGACATCAAGACTGGTGTGAGACAGGGATGTTTATTATCACCGTTCCTCTTCATATTGGCAGTCGACTGGCTGATGAAGGAAACCACCAGAGGACACAGAAACGGTATACAGTGGACCCCATGGACACAGTTGGACGATCTGGACTTTGCAGATGACTTGGCGCTTCTGTCACACACTCAGGAACAGATGCAAGCAAAGACAACAATTTTAAACAGCCTATCAGAGTCTGTTGGATTGAGGTTCCACCCCGGAAAGTCGAATGTCTTAAGGATAGATGCACTGCGAAAGGAGCAGGTCACAATACAAGGAAATGTACTAGAAGACGTCAAATCCCTCTGCTATCTTGGGAGTATAATTGACAGAGAGGGAGGAACAGGCGCTGAAATAAAGTCCTGCATTGGGAAGGCACAGGCTGCATTTATTTCTTTGAGCAGGATTTGGAGGACCAGGGATATCTCATTACGAACAAAGCTTAGAATTTTCAACTCAAATGTGAATTCAGTCTTGTGGTATGGATGTGAGACGTGGAACGCATCCCATACGTGCATAAAGAGGATCCAGGTTTTCTTGAACAAGTGTCTGAGGAGGCTGCTGAGGATTAAATGGACAGACAGGATCACCAATGAGGAAGTATTAATTAAGAAGAACCAGACAGAGCCCGGTCAGAGATGAGGTGGGAAGAAGACGTTGGCGACGGATTGGACACACTCTCAGGAAGTCAAGCAGCTGCACAACAAGAAAAGTGTTAGATTGGAACCCACAGGGTAAAAGGTCAAGGGGAAGACCTCGTGGAACCTGGAGAAGAGTCAGGGAAATGGATGTACAGAAAAGTGGGAAGACGAGGAGTGACATCAAGCGACTAGCCCGGGATGGGGAAAGGTGGAAAGTGTTTGTTCGTGGCCTATATCCTGACCCAGGATGAGAAAGGCAATGATGATGATGACAGCTGGTATTTATGAAGCATTTATTTGGGGATAAAAAAACCCCTCGAAATTCCTAAAATATTGCTTAAAATGTAATTCTGCTCGGTTGCCACCCTAATTTGACGACGCTGATTTAAAAAATGTAATTAGTTTTTGTTTACCGTGAAGCACCAGCTCTGAAATGGCCATTCAAAAATGTCCCCTGTCCAGCCGGGTGACGTCACGCAAACAACGACAGCGAGACGGCATTGAGAGTTCGCGACCTCAGTGCTTTCTTGTTGCATCTCCAATTTTAATAACAGTGAAAGCAGTTCACAACAAAGAGTGAGCTTAAGAAGAGGTCACATTTTTGCTGTTAAAAAATGGAGATAGGACAAGAAAGCACGAGGTCACGAGTTGACAGCGAGACGCCCTTCCCAGTTTTTCGGCGTAATAAGAATGTTGTTTGGATTCCGATAAAGCCGACAACGCCGACAACGCCGACAACGCCGATCCGAGCTTAAAGCCGCCTGCAGTATGCCAGCTCAATGTGGGGCAAGTTGGAAACCATAAGGGAATTTTTATATCTGTCGGTGCTTAATGAGTCATTCTCCGAAATCGTCATTTTCTATGTTTTTGCCCTAACGTTAGATTTACAGTTATAAAAATTTGTAACATGCAGCTTGTGCAAAAAACCCCACTCTGTCGCCATACAAATTAAATCGATATTCTCACTGTTATTTCACTATAATGACTAAAAATAGAAAGAAAAAGAAAACAAGCGTTCTCCGATTTCTAGATTGTCGGGCCCGTCATGGTGACCGGTCAGTGAACCTGTGCGAGTTCGCATCGTGTGAGTACGGCATGAGTAAAGGACGGCTGGTGGTTGTTGGGGTAATCAAAGTTCATTCAAAGTAGGAACGTTACAGGGCTTCAGAATTGAGGGGAGGTGTTTGACGCAATAAAGTCTACGGCAGCAGGATAAGGCCGTGGTGCAAGAAACTGATGCTAAAATAAAAACGATAAGTGGAAGTGGTTTTGACTTTCGACAATCGATAATTGTACTATAAACTATATAAGGAGTACTATAAACTGTCACCTAAGATCAAGGACATAGAAGACGAATGGCAAATATTCAAAAAATCCCTGTCAGAAAAACTGAAACTCCTAGCCTGGGCAAACAAAAGAAGGACCTTTCGGTCCAAAGCAGACGTCCTTGGGGTGGTCACCATCTCCCCAAAAGATGAAAGGGTTAATGTTATTTAAAAAGTTAGTTTAAATTAAGAATTTATTTACATCATATGTTTAGCATTTTTATCATTTTAGTAGAGGTGTTGACTAGAATCAGGCTGTGCAGTGCACGGCGCACCGGCAGTGGAATTTTAGTTGCCGCGGAGGGTTCCCCGCCGGGCACCTTATCACGTCGGGGTCACGGGGGGTCAGCTCCCTGTCGCCGCTCTGTCTGGGCCGACTTAATTATTGGTACTTTTCAACGTACAATTTAAGGTGTATCCTTGTATTTATGGTAATTCTCATTAGTACACCCAAAGCACGCATTTCTGCTCTTGAGACTCAAAAAAGAACGGACGTTGTAACTTGTCTGGTTATTTTGTTAGGCGCGCTGGAGTCGGCAATGCTAAATTGTAATTTTTTTGGGACTAGTGTGAATTAAAAAAAATCAATATAAAAAAAACGCATCGTCAAAATCTGTCGAACTTTTGGAATATGAACGACATAACATTAGTGCAGATACTCAGAAAAGATGGTATCTGCGCTTATAATAGAAGGCTGTAATTTTGCAATTTTATCCATATGGCACACAATTCGCTACGAAGTAATTCCTCCAAATACAACTTTATGTGTCTAATATAATCATGAATATTCGCATATTTTCTCGAAAGTTTATAAAAGTTGTCATGAAGTTTCTCAATGAAAAGTACAAATCGATTTTAGTGCTAGAATATATCTAATAGATCTAATACACGAACAGTATCTGTTACACTCCAGAAATTGCTTACTTTTCTTAAAACGCTAAGTCTAGGTTTTGTAAGTTGACTGAATAATAAGGATGACTTCTCGTAATTGGGTTATAAGAATAATTTCTAGCTTTCCAGGGACACTGAATCAGCACCAGACTTTTCCAGCTTTTTTTACGTTTCTATGACCATTTGCAATAACTGACAATGTGACTGATTTCTTTACATTCATAATTGTGTCCGCGCATATTTCCTACACAAAAACTAAGAATGAATGTTTTAGCTGTCATTATTTTTATTCCATACTAGAAGTTTATCTCTACCCATGTATTTACACGGTTTTGTGGTTTTTTAAAATCGCTTATATTATATCTTTTTAGTTGTATGCAGGCTGCCACAGACACAGCATGATTCATGAACAAACGCAGAGTAACTTTCTCTTGTTTAATAGTAAAATAAGAGCTAACACTGATCGTCTTTAGTTAAAATATGCAGATGTGCATCTTTCTTCTCTTATAACTTGACTATTACTACGAGGGCTGTCCCACGGAAAACCGGAATTTGGCTGTAATTTTAAAACTATTTAATATTTTCACATTCTGTAAACGCACACTAGTAAAAGAATCATTTAGAACTTTCCCGATTGAGCACCATGAGCATCGCTCAAACCAAACGAGCACAGCAGTTCTCAAAAGATGGCTACCCCCTTGGAAAATTGGTCAAGGGTAGAAGTGAGGTCTGTCATTCGGTTTCTGACCGCAAAAGGTCTCAAACCTCTAGAAATAAAGAAATAAAGTCAGTTTATGGGGAGAAAGTAACGGCAAAGTCACAGGTATATGAATGATGTAGTACGTTCAAAGCCGGGCACTCCAATATCAATGACAAAGTGTACCCAGGATCTTGTTTTTCTGCCAAGACTGAGGACAACAAGAGTCGCGTTAACGAACTTATTCAAACACACAGGTGCCTAAAAATTCGCGAAATTTGCGAGTCGCTAAACATTTCAAAGTCGACTGTCTATAGGATAGAGTTTGATGAGCTGCTTTATTGAAAGGTCTCTGCTTGATGGGTTGGGGCCGAAAAAGACCAGCGGGGCCATTTTGCAGCATGGCAACACAACACCACACACCGCAAACGTCACGAAAGACTGGTTCCAAAGGTTCGGCCAGGAAGTTCTACTACACCCCCCTCACAGTCCTGACTTGGCCCTGTCAGATTATCACCTTTTTGAACCAATGAAACGCCATATTTCTGGACAGCGATTCACCGACAACGAAGACCTCGTGGAAGCCGTGAACTATTGGTTGAAATCCCTTGACGAAAGATTCTTCAGGGAGGGTATCTTCTCCCAGATCCAGCGATGGGAAAAATGTGTCCAGCGGGATGGTGAATACATTGAGAAATAAAGCACATATTGAGGTATGATGTGTTACAGTTTTATTATAATAGGACAAAGATTTTTGCTTTTGCGGACCTTTTCCGGTTTTCCGTGGGACAGCCCTCGTACTACCGCAGATTTAAGATTTCTCATGGTAAAAGACATGATATTCGTAGTCAGTTTAACACAGAATTTGGAGAGATCTGTCGTGCCTTTTTTAAAATAACAATCATTTATTCATAACTTTGTAACAAAAATAGGACAAATTGGGTACTCTACAAACACTTGTCTAGAACAAAAACTAAGGCACAGAAACTAACCATTCTAACGCAGAATAAATCTCAAGACATTGAGCTTTTAGTACATCCGCGTAATGGTTTGCTGTGTGGGATGGGGAAGAAGTTATATCGTTTTAAACATAGTCAAAAATGCGAACTTCCCGACCGACAGCGGCAAAGTCGCCTCAGGGTTCATTAAACCCGTGACCCCGAGCCGGGGAGCTCCGGCGGGCTGCTGAGTCACGCGAACTAAAAGTAACAGAATCGGGCGAAAAGTGACGCCGTGAGTGAACTGTTGCGAATGGAACCAACTTTTTTTTTTGTGTGCTCATATGACCTTGTGCAGTTGGGAGCTCCGTAAAACTCTTACTAAAATGAACAAAACAAAAGTGGGCCTCTCCAGAGTAGAGGTGAAGTTGTTTTTTCCAGACGTGTTGGACATCCCTCCCTAACACATAAATACTTCCCGCATGGAGATAAAAAGTCCTTTGTACTGGTTGCGATGGATTTCATAATAAAACACATACTGATAGAATGTCCGGACTTTGGACAGACGCAAAGGATATATATTTTTTAATGTTCTCCATCGTTGATCCCAACAGAATTCTTGTTTTATAAAGGCCATTGGCCTTTACTCAAAAGTGTATATTTTGTTTTTAATTAAATTTTTACCATTAAAAGTATAACCTAACCATAAACTAAAATCAAGCCATGCTATGAACTGTCATGACTACAACCAGCTTGTGTTTCGCATGCTCTTATGACCCCATGTAGTTGAGAGCATTGTAAAACGCTTACTAAACTAAAACAAAAAGAAAAATTTTAAATGGTATCAAATAAATTGGCTTACATAGAATTATGGTTGGGAGATGTTTGAAACATACATATTTTCATGTTAACTTTCATCATGCCCTGTGACTTCTTTCTGCATTCTTCTAGGAGCTGAGATCTGCATCGCTACACCAGGGAGGTTGATCGATTTGCTGGAATCAAATAAGACGAATCTGAAACGAACTACGTACTTGGTACTGGATGAAGCTGACCGCATGCTGGACATGGGTTTTGAACCTCAGATCCGAAAAATTATAGAGCAAGTCAGGGTGAGTTCATACCAGGTTCTGGGATTCCCAGGGCCCTGTGAATGACCCGAAATTTGACTAAAATCACCAAGACCCAGGAATTCCCCTGAAATTGGAGGAAACTAATAAATTATCTCTCAAAAGACCCCAGGAATATACATTTATCTCTCCAATCTTTAGTTAAATTAGTCAGAACAGGCTGAAATACCTGAGTTTCTGTTTGGCATGTTGTCTGGAAATAATATGTATACTTGTATGCAGTGGCATTGGGTGGCACCAAGCTATCTGCAAGGGCCAAATACCCCCCCCCAAATCAAAGTACGGTTGAACTTGCCTAACGGAAACCTGTGTAAAACGGAAACCTGTCTTAACGGAATCTCCCCGCTCTCCCCTTGATATATTCCTCTTTAATTACCTGTATAAAACGGAAATCTGTCCAACGCAGAAACGGAAATAAGAATTGGCTCTGAGGGTCTTACCTGTTTAAGACGGAAAATGCTTTGCTCACTCAACCCTAATTTGAAACAAAAATCGCAAGTTTGGTTCCGCTGGCTGTAACTTAACGCTGTGCTGCCGGGTGAGGAAGGGGAGTAGAGGTGCAATTTGGGGGTAGATGTTGCCCATCAATGTGAGCACTGAGCGATGCAGATGTTCAGGGGGGGGGGGGGGGGGGTGTGAAGTCTCACGAGTGTCAGTGAAAGTGCTCGAGTAGCGAGCCACCATGGAAACTTTCCTGGGTAGATAGAAGCCAGAGGTGTGAAATTGGTTTGACCAATCAATGCCTGCCGCCCTAATCCTATGGCCAGCGGAGAAAACAGGTCCTCGAATTGTTACATAGGAGTGAGGGGTGGCATTTGTTGACTGCTTGTTACACCCATGGGTGGCTAAGGGTAAAAGCAAAGAAGATTTCAAACTTTTCTGTTTTTAAAAGGTCAAACAGTGATACTATGAAATGCAAGCTCTGGTGGTAATTGGATACGTAAGACTGGCGCATGTAATTATTAGAGAGGAAAGCAGTTGAGAGGTGTGAAGTTTTGACCACTGCTTGCCGACCGGACAAGCAATCCTTGATCCCATTAGCAGGGCCTGTGAAACCCTCTCCATCTCACCCCTACATCCCCTGTATAAGACGGAGGCAGCCGGTGAAAAAAAATCTATGCGCTTTTTCATGACCTGTCGTGCAACATGGCCCAAGGAAGTAAGGAGGCATTTGGTGTTTTATAGCGAAAGAGCAAAGAAACAGCGATCGGAATTACCCCGATTTCACCGATACCATGCGGTCGGAAGGCCTCGAGTGCCCGGGAGGCCGTGTTTACGCTACCTACTTCAAATGCAAAAAAGCGCACTCCATTGAATGTTCCCAGATTTTGAACCCCGCAGTTTCCAGACTTCCACTCAAACAACACTGAAACCTACAATGCAGACTTCACATTAGACGAACTAACATCATGCATCTCGGACCTGGGCAATACTGCCTCGGGTCCAAATGACATCCCCAACCAGATCATTAGACACTTACCCCCAGAAACACTTACACTCCTACTAGACATTTACAACGACATGTGAAGGTCGCACTCCTTTCTGGAGTTTTGGCGTCTTGCCACTATCATTCCAATTCCAAAACTAAACAAAGACCACACATACCCATCCAATTACAGACCAATAGCACTAACGAGCTGTCTGTTCAAACTTCTGGGAAAAAATGATCCACGGGCGACTCATTGTGGTTTCTGGAGATAATGGGCTCGCTAAACGGTCTCCAGTGTGGATTCAGGAAAACTTGATCCTCTCTGGATCACCTGGTCCGCCTGGAGACCTCTATACGTGAGACGTTTGCCGAAGGAGGCCACTTGATCGCCGTCTTTTTCTACCCAGAAAAAGCCTTCGACACCACCTGAAAGTACTGAATTCTTAGAGACCTGCATGCTCTCAGCATACGCGGTCACCTTCCTGCCTTCATTGGCAATTTCCTGAAGAACCATTCCCTCCAGGTTCGTGTCGGATCCTTCCTTTCAGACCCCCACCAATAGGAGGAAGGTGTCCCCCAGTGGAGCATCCTTTCTCCTCTCCTATTTGAAATCAAAATAGACTCCTCCGTAAAAACCCTCCAAAATAGCATAGACAGCTCGTTATACATTGATGACTTCTTGAAATGCTGCCGTTCGAAAAATCCACCTCTAAGATCTATGGAAAGGCAGCTGCACAGACTTGAAAAGTGGGCAAACAATAACGGTTTCAAATTTTCCCCGTCAAAGACGGTTGCAGTGCACTTCTGCCGATCAGGCAGACATGTAGTGCAGCCGGATTTGACGCTCTAGGGGGAAAGGATTCCCGTGCCGGACCAGGCTAATTTCCTTCATGTGAGGTGCCAGAAAGCGTTAAACGCTTTGAAAATTCTATCGCATCCGGAGTGGGCGGGGGACTCAAAGCACCCTTCTCCACTTGTACTTCTCCCTTGTCCGATCCAGGATTGACTACGGCTGTCAAGTCTTCGGATCGATAAAACCACACATCCTAAAAATGCTAGACCCAGTGCAAAACCAAGCAAGAACTCCGCCTCTGTCTGGGGGCTTTCCGCACTGATCCGGTGGAGAGCCTCCAGGCCGAGGCAAACATACCATCACTCGCACTCAAACGCACACAACTCTCACTACAATATGCAGTTGAACAGAGCTCAAAACCGGAGGCCCAGCACACGACTGCATTTTCAAAACAAACCCAGACACCATAAACAAATTCCAAAACAACAAAAAACTCATCAAACGCTTCAGCCTCAGAGTCCTTGGGAACCTCAAAAACATACACTTTTCCAAACAAGACGTCCAACAATTTGTCTTCCCTGACCTCCCTCCGTGGCACCTCACCAGGGCAAAAGTAGACTTACAACTGACCACACACGACAAAGCAAGCACAAACTCCAAAACATTTAAAGCAGAATACAAAAAACTTAGAGAAAAAAATACCCTGGTGCGGAGCTCATCTTCACAGATGGCTCCAAAAAAGGACTCTGATGTGGGCCCTATCTTCAAACAGTACTCACTCCAGTCTGTGAGAGACCCACTGGAAAAAACAAACGAACAATAAACTTCACAACATTAAACCCAGACTGGGACCGCGAAATCCTTCAGGCCTCTCCAGAAGAGACAAAGTCATTTTTACTCGATTACGCATCGGACACACGGCCCTGGCACATAAATACCCCCTTCAGGGAGATGAGAAGCTGTTCTGTGTCGGATGCGATGCAGATTTTACCATTGGACACATTTTAACCGAATGTCTAGACTTCGGAGAGACCCGAAGAAAATATTTCAGATGCAAAAAATTGCAAGATGTTTTCCGTTGTTGTTCCCAACAGAATTTTGGGATTTTATGAAGGCCATTGGCCTTTATGGGAAATTATAAAATGAAATAAAATTGATTTATATTTTTATGTTATTTAAAAGAGTTGTTTTAAATTGAAAATATATTTACACCGAATTTTAATATTTTAACTTTTAAAAATCTGATAGTTGACACAGCTGTGCAGTGAACTGTTACGAATGCAACCAACTTGTGTTTCGAGCGTTCATATGGCCTTATGCAGTTGCGAGCGCTGTAAAAACTCGTACAAAACAAAAGATTTTTGTTTTAAGTCCGACCCTTAACTGCTATGTCAACATAATTCTCATGTCTTTACAATCCCTCACCCAGTGTGCTGTGAATGAAGCTTCTGTTTTTGTTTCATTGATAGCTCAGCCACTACCAACTTTAGTGTAGCAAGTGTAAAGAATCTCAGTCCAGACTCATGCATGGCTCACTGCCTCACATTGATAAAGCAAAACTTTTATGCCTGTGTTGACCAGAAATTGTTGCATCCCTTATTTTCTCAGTAGGCCTATGTACTGTTGGTATTGAATTATGTAGCTACTTTGAAAACAGCTGTCTTTTTTTATTTTGCTCACAGCCTGACCGGCAGACATTGATGTGGAGTGCAACATGGCCCAAGGAAGTAAGGAGGCTGGCTGAAGATTTCCTTGACGATTATGTTCAAGTGAATATAGGTGCCCTGCAGCTCACAGCTAACCATAACATATTGCAGATTATTGATGTATGCATGGAGTTTGAAAAAGAAGACAAGTAAGTTTCCTGATTGTACTAGTCTGCATTAAAAAAATTTATATTGTCAAAAAGTCAGGAATTTACATTTTTAAGATGCTTGAATTTGAAAGTCCATTCAAGGAAGTTAGTAAATCAGGGACAACAGGTTGATAAAAATAAAAAGATCTTTTCAAAGTACTTTTGTCCTTTCTTATATGCATTTCCCCCGCTGTTCTTTCAATTTATGATTTATGAATTTTCCAATTACCATACGAATTGTGAAACCATGAAGTTTACTCGGTAGAAAGTTTTTTATTCATTTTCATGGTGATAGCATGCTATATGATGTAGGAAATGTACAGTTCTCTCAGTTTCTTGTAAAACAATGTTGATTTTTATTTGTTATTGACTTTCGTCAGAGATACAAATTTGAAAGTCCTATTAGTTCATGTCTTCTGTTGTGCCCACAGCAGGAATAGTACGCAATATTGGAACTAGATCGAATACATTTAAAAAATGTGGCTATCTGTGCACATTTTTTTTTTTTTGCCCCTTAATTTTCAAATGTTTTGTTTTTTGAAATTTTAGTTTTCATCCATATATTTTTTACTTTGACAGATTGGTAAAGCTTCTAACAGAGATCATGCAAGAAAAGGAAAATAAAACAATCATTTTTGTTGAGACCAAGAGGAAAGCAGATGACATCTCAAGAAGGATGAAAAGAGATGGGTTAGTTCTGTTCATGCCCTTCAGTCTGCACACTTCAGATCGGGGTATTGTGGTTTTGAGCCAAGTTCAGTAACTGATCTTTTTGTAATTCTTTAAAAGTACGTAGATCGATCTACACCTGTGATGTAACAGTTAGACTTTGTCAGTGTACTGAGAAGACATGAGTTTTGACTCCCAAATGAGTATGAATTGTATAAAATTGAATTCTTCCGTGAGCTTACTGGGAAGCTGAGCTGTGTTCCGCTCAGCCAACGTTGGCTCTGACAGGCAGAGTTGAAGCAGTCCACCTTATAAATTTTGTAATCTGTGTCAGTGGGGTGTAAATCAGTTAAAATAAATGTATTGATAATAATTCCTCCATCAATGTCTGGCGGTGACCAATGCACCAGCAGAGGAGAAGATTTCTTGAGTGAACTAGTAAAATTGAAGGTTAAGATCATCTGTGGCTTCTACTATTGCTGAAAAGACCTATTCTGGCAAAGAAAAGTTTGCCACAATTTGAGCATTTAAAAGTTTCATTTTCACTTGTGGATTTGCGCGTCTTGTGGACTTCTGTCTTTCATTTTATTTTTTCTCTCTTTCACCTGGGCATTGGGTATAGGTTGCCAAGAAGGGCTCTCCTCCTGTCTTTTCTCTGGGAGATCTTCACCACCTCCAGCTAGCTGTTTCCCATATGTGCCTGAGACCTGCCTCCTGATCTCTTCCAGGTGGACCTTGGCTTTTCTTTCTTTCTCCTTCCCAGTGGGTTCCATTTTAGGCTTTGTCTAGTCACATTGTGGGCTGGCTTCCTGAGTGTGTGTCCCCAATGCATTCCATCTTTCTTTGATCTTATGATCAATTGGTTGTTGTTTATTTGTTTATCACCCCCAGTGGGTCGGGGGGATATAAATAGACCCACTGCTTCGTCTGCAGAAGGTGCAACCCCCTCAAAGACGAAGTGTCGCACACGGAGCCCAACCCTCTGGGATCTGTGTGTGACGCTTACTTTCTCCTTCTATCTTTCTTCCCACCGCTGACCTCATGTGCAGCAAAAAGAGAGGTCACCCATCCCACAGAGTGGGCGCCTTGTTGACCGTGAGGTGCGACCCGTGCGGAGGGAAACCGGGTACCTGGCGGTTGAGGTGAGATCAGTTTACGGACTGTCCCTCACCAACACACCTCTTCGGCCCAGGTTTTCCTCTTAGACGGGAGGGTGGCACGGCCCATGCCACTCAATCGGTTGGGAGTTGAAATAACATCAAGCCCTGGGTCAATCTTGACGGGAGGGTTTTATGCGCACTCGTAGAGAGTATAGCTCCGGGGTAGCCCTGGCACAGCTCTGGTCATCCAAGCAATGTGTCCCCTTGTTGGGCTCGATGGCGGGCGGGGAGCCCCGGAGTTGAACCACCTTAAAAACTCTCATGGATTCCTCTTCTAATAAAAACCCTTCCCCAACTCCCAACGTTGCCAAAAAGTCTCGGCTCGCGGAAGCGGGTGCGGCCGCCGAGCCAATCAAACAAACTTCTAAAGGGAAAAGGACCTTTACGTCTGCCTCTGCCCTCCCCCCTCTCAGGGAGCTTCTGCGGCAGCTGTACTTGACCATCCGCAGCACCGATGCGCAGAAAAAGATCACTGATCTAAACATATTCAAGACAGGAGATGCTCTAAGACAGGTTCTTGGATACATTCCTACGAATGTCCAGGAACTGTCTTCTGGTGCTCTCCTCATCAAGTGCGCATCAGATAAAGAACTGGCCGGACTTAGAAGGAAAAAACTCTCTTTGCAGTACGCTTTGAAACCTAGCTCAGTACCCCAAAACCAAGCCCAACAGAAGTGTAAATTTTATGAAGGCCATTGGCCTTTATGTTATAAAATGGATTATTTGAAATTTTAAAGTGTTATTTAGAATGTTGTTTTAAATTTAAAATCTATACGCTTGATTTTTAGCGTTTTAACAATTTTAATTAGAAAGTTTGACCAGAATCAGGCCGAGCAGTGAGAAAAAACCCCCCAACTTGTTTCGCACGCTCATATTTGAGTCATATGACCTTTTACAGTTGCGAGCACCGTAAAACCACATTCTAAACTAAAAAACTAGATTATACTCTCTACTGTGATCTGTGGCAAGACTTTTAAGTGACCTTACAAAGCGTGTTTGTCTGGGTTATTTTATATAAAAGCAGCTGTTGGTGTATTGTTTTCAGAAACTTAATCTCCTTTTTCATGTGATCATTTTACAGGTGGCCAGTGATTTGCATTCATGGTGATAAATCCCAACAGGAGAGAGATTGGGCTCTCAATGGTAAGTTACAAGTATGCTCATATGATGCTTTCTTATTCCGTTATGTGATTTTATTCTTTCCCGTTCACAATGTTTTCCAACAATGCACAAATCAGCATTCTGCTGATCTGATTCTTTTAATGGACGTAAAAATAAGTTGTGACTACTGGCACCACTCCTGGCACTCTTTCCTCTCGAGAAATGATAATATGGCTACTGCGGCAGCCAAGATTGCCGTTTTGAAAATCTTGAGGAAGAAATGAGGTGCATGCCTGGCCGGTTTCGGCTGGATTGAAATCATGCAATGCATTTTTTTACGGGCTGGATTGATCAGGTTGAACTGGAAAGGGTTACACACAGTAATTTGTATAGCCTTCGTGTAGTGTCTGAGCTCTTGATGTTGTCTGGTTAAAGTCTAATGGATGAGCCCTTCATGGGTTTGTGGAAATTTTTTATCTCTTGTGAGCCTTCTAGATTTTAATTTTCGAGCATAACTCGTGTGGTCATTTCACAAGGCAACTTTGATTCCCCGTGATTTCATTTCTATCGGTCATTTTGGGGCCGTGGAACGAGCATAATATCGTTCAATGTTTACTCTCTGCCCTGACTGATTCCGAGGCTGTGACCGTACGTAAATTAGCAGGAAACAGAAAGCCCATTACGCCTCGTGCTCTGTCGTCATTTGTTATGTTCGAAAGAACCAATCAGAAAACAAGAAATAATAGGGGTGATGGAACGTGCATTGTTCCTGTCATTGTTTTCATTCAAAGCGTATTGTTGTGCGATGTAAGATGGAGAGAAGAATAACGATGGATGAGATGAATCCACGGAAATCCCGCGACGCCTCGTGCTCTGTCATCATTTGTTATGTTCGAAAGAACCAATCAGAAAACAAGAAGTAATGGGGGGGGGGGGGGGGGGGTTGGCATGTGCATTGTTCCTGTTGATCCATTCAAAGCGTAATTCATAAGACGGCGAGAAGAATAACGACGGATGAGACAAATATTCATTTAAGTTTTCTTATGTCGTCATCAAATCTAAACATGTTATGTTCTAAAATTTAAGCCAAATAATGGTTAACATCGCACTGCATTCCAATGGTCAAGTAGTGGTAGATCTACATGCAACCACGCGTGCTTGGCTAGATGTCAACGAGAGGGGAAAATTTTATGTAAATTGATGATATGTTCCAAAATGGCAACAAACATTTATCCACTATGATGACTATGTGTCGTCGTGGTTATGTGCGAAAGATATTTGATATTTTGCAAATGTGGATTAAGTGGCTTTTTTTTCCACCATTAACATGCGTTATAAGTCAAACTGATTCTCCTAAATCTTTGTTTGCCAAAATTTCCAAAAAATGAATTAAAATATGAAAATGGAAAGTTTTTCATTTCTTTCGGACATAACCATGATGACACAAATGCCAACTCAAAGACATTCAGAATTTCTTTTTTCATTGGTTTTGTATGCTGTTCATGCTTATGTTTGAAAATTAAAGCAATGAGGAAACTAATTAGAATAATTTTATATTCCCTAAGAAATGACTTTTCAGAGTATTTTTCATTTTGTGTCATCATGGTTATGTTCGAAAGATATTAGATATTTTGCAGAGATTCATAGTAAAAGGTAAATAAAGTGGGCGTTTTTTCATCATTAACATGCATTGTGAGTCAAACTGAATCTTTTGAATATTTGTTCGCCCAAATTTTCATAAAAGAAATTAAGATGTGAAAACAGAAAGTTTTTTCATTTCTTTTGGACATAACTATGATGACACAACTGCAAACACAACGGCTTTCAGAATTTCTTATTTGGGGGCTCTTGTGGCCTAGAGGTTAAGATGTTGGCCTCTCATTCAAAAGGTCCCGGGTTTGAATCCGGGTAGCGACCGAAAAATTTCTTCTCTAAAATTGTCTCCTTTCACCTCCTTTCCTGCTCTCTAGCAATATTCTGTCGTCTGCTTTCGTCTCCTCTTTCTGCCCCCACCCCCTCACCTCCTTTGCCCCCTCCTCTGGGCTCCTGACTCTTTCTGCAGCCTTTCTACTGCTACTCCTTGACTCCTTCTTACAGCTGTCTTTCTGCCACACCCCTGATCTTCTGATAGGAAAGATCTACACCTAGCTTTCTCGGACAAGAGCGAAAAATCTTGGAGGGCCCGTGTACAAGTTGCGCACGTTAAAGATCCCTTGGTGGTCTAAAATCGATAACAGTATTCTTCGGCCGCCACCCGGGCAAAATTCAAAATTTCCTACCAACTAAAAATATTAGGTGTGTCCCGCGCGCTCATATGACCTTATGCAGTTGCGAGCGCTGTAAAACACTTACGAAAAAAAAAAAGAATTTCATATTTCTCTGATCCTCACCATTTTATATGCTCTTCATACTTATGTTTGAAAATTAAAGCAATAAGAAAACTGTTAAAATAATTTTGTATCATGTACAAATTCTTAAAAAATGTGTCATCATAATTTGATTTGACGTTACGTAATGCCAGTTACACAGCTTAGCATGCTGTCTGTAGGTCGGTAAATACATGTTATTGTAGGAGGAGATATACATGAATAAAAAAAAAATTCAAGTAAAAACGAAATGTTAAAAACTTTATCATCAACCCTCTGTGCTACATTTTAGATATCCACCTATTGGCAAAAGCTCATCTACTTGTATATGAGTGTGGCCTCTGATAAGATTTTGTATTCAATTTGGGTGTTTGCTTTAATTGAAAAGGCACTTTTGGCGTTAGAAATAGATGCAATTTTGTGCTGATACACACACGCGCACACACACACACACACGCACACGCACACGCTCTCACACACACACACATGCACACACACACACACACACACACACACACACACACACACACACACACACACTCACATATTCTCTCTCTCTGTCTCTCTATCTGTCCGTCTATCCCATGAAAGGAGGGTCGACGTAGAGCTTCAGGTGTTTGCGGTTCCGGCGGTAAGCGCGATCCCCAGACTGTATGATGTAAGACCTTGGTGCACACAACCGCAGGGCCACGCCACTCCTTGTCGTTCTCCAGCTTCTGCAGGACGAGCTGACCAGGATTCAGCTCCGGGAGGTTCTGGGCTCCGTGACGTCTGTCAAAAGCTTGTTTGTACTTAGGCTTCGAATCAGCATCTCTGGCTGCAATCTTCGTCCTGTCGTAGACCTGCTGGTTCAGGTTTGACGGTAGAGTTGGCAGGGTCGCCCTCAGGCATCGCCCAAGAGCAGGTTCCGCTGGGCTCGCCCCCGTCGGTGACACCGGTGTAGACCTGTAGATCAGGAATGCGAGAAATAGGTCGTCCTGATTCAGGGCTTTCTCCACCTCCTCGACTGCTCTCTCCGACCCGCCGTTGCTCTGGGGAAAATGAGGACTGCTGGTCGTGTGTTTAAACCCACAGCCCTTGGCGAACTTGTGGAAACGGTCTGACACAAACTGGGGACCGTTGTCAGTCACCAGTAGTTCTGGAATGCCAAACCGAGCGAAGATGTTTTTCAGTTTGTACACAACAGTCTCTGAGGTGGTGTCTGACATGTAGGCCACCTCCAAGTACAGTGAGAAGTAGTCCACGAGTACCAGGTAGTCATGTCCCTTGTAGTTGCAGAGGTTAGCACCAACCATTTGGAACGGCCGCTCAGGTAGAGCTGTCAGGTTAACAGGTTCGCTTGGTTGTGCTGGACGTTTCCGCTGGCAATGGTCGCATCTTGAGACGACTTCCCGTATCTCGGAGCTGAGACCAGGCCACCAAATGGAAGATTCAGCCTGTTCTGGACACTTCGACACTCCGAGGTAACCGTCGTGGATCCTGCCGAGCATCTCTCCTCGCATTGCCTTGGGGATTACGATGCAGTTACCTCTGACGAGTAGTCCATGGACTTCGCTCAGTTCACTGGAGACTGCGTAGAGGTCGCAAGCTTTGGACTTTACGTTTTGGATGAATTTCGGCCAACCGCTTCTGGTGTACTGTATCGCAGCACTGATCGCTGGATTCTGTTGAGACTTGTTTCTCATTTCGTCAAGTTTGCTATCTTTGGCATTCCATGACATCTGGATTGCATCGACTTGAGCCTCGATTTCTTCATCAAATTCTTCAGGTTCGGTGCATACTACTGGACTTCGGGACAAGGAGTCTGCGACAGTCATGTTTTTCCCTTGGGTGTATTCTGTCTTTCCGCTGTAGCGCATCATCCTCATCAGCATCCGTTGGCAGCGGACAGGTGCATCATTCAGTTCCATAGAGTTGATCAGGGGCACAATGGGCTTGTGGTCGGTGAACAGTGTGAATGAAGGCAGCCCGATGAGGTAACGATCGAACTTTTCGCACGCCCAGGTGGCCGCCTACTGTTCCTTTTAAATCTGAGCGTAGTTCTTCTCGGCCCTAGATAGAATTCTGGAACAGTAGGCGACTGGCTGAAGATCCCCCCCTGTCCTCCTGGAGGAGAACTCCCCCCAGTCCATAGCTGCTTGCATCAACGCTTACAACGACAGGCTTCCTCATGTGGAAGAAGGCGAGTGTTGGAGCTGACGACAGCAATTTATTGACTTCAGTGAAGGCAGATGACTGCGCTGGAGTCCACGCCCACTCAGCATCGTGATTCAGAATATCGGTGAACGGCTTCATGACTGTTGACAAATTTGGCACAAACCTGCCCAAATAGTTCACCATGCCGAGCACTCGTCGTAAGTCTGTAATGTTGTCTGGCTCTGGCATCTCAGTGATGGCGCTGACCTTGGATGAATTTGGCCTTACACCCTTCCCGCTGATGATGTGTCCAAGAAAATCAATTTCATCCTTGTCAAACTTGCTCTTGGATTTGTTCAACTTGACCCCATGCTCCTTTAGCCGCTGGAAGACTTTCTTTTTCAGATTATCATTTCCTCCTGACCATCCGTGTTCAGGAGGATATCGTCCATAAAGCACTCAACACTGTCTATGCCCGCTAGAATGTCTTGCTTCGTGCGCTGAATATCTCAGGCGCAGAGGTGATTCCAAAGCAGAGACGTCTGTAGAAGTACCGACCGAACGGGGTAATAAAAATAGTCAGCTTCGCAGAGTCGTCGTCTAGCGCCAACTACCAAAAAGAAGTTGCAGCAAGCTTGCTGAATGTGTTTGATCCGCTGAGTTTGTACCAGATGTCGTCTATAGTGGACAGCATGAATCATTCACGCTTCACCGACAGGTTGAGCTTTTTCAGATCTGTGCAGATTCTTACGTTACCAGACCTTTTTCCGACCGGGACCATGGGCGCGCACCAGTCAGTTGGAGCACTGATCTTCTCAATGACACATGCAGCCTCCATGCGGTCTAGTTCAGCTTTGACTTCGTCCATAAGTGGAATGGGAATCCGACGTGCAACGTTCACGGAGTATGGCTGTGCATCTTCTTTCAAGATGATTTTCAGTGGCTCGCAGCATATAGGTTTAGCTCCCACATCGCCGAACACGAGGTTGGCGGAGTCTATTCTGTCTCGAGAGATCAGTCCCAGACGAACTGCAGCGTCGCAACTGAGAAGGCAGTCAGTGTCGTCGTCAAGGACGAAAACACGGAACGCAAAGTTGCGATTGTTATGCTGAGTAGTCGCGATAAATTCTCCCACGCTCCTTATAACTCCACCAGGACTGCGAAGAACTGCATTTTCTACATCAATCTGGAAAAACTGTTACAATAGCTTGACTTCCAAGCCATGAGTAGGCATTGATGCAACGAAGCCATTGACCTATTTGCCGAAGAATCTCTTAAACTACCTGAAAATAAAAATAATAAAACCCCTTTCTCTGACAGGAAACTGGAAGTAAAAGAACACATCACATCTTCCTGGTCCCAAATTTGGAACCAACAAATACACAACAAACTCCATTATTCAACTGAAACTTGCGCCCAGGAAACCCATGTCTCTCCCCCGAAGAAAAAATGTTATTTACACAAGATTAAAAATCGGACACACGCACATCACACGCAAACATTTACTCAAAGGAGAGTAAGCTCCTTTTTGCGTGGCGTGCAACACATACTTTACAGTTCGGCACATCCTGAAGAAATGTGTCGACTTCAATTATATACATACAAAATACTTTAAATGTAAAAATGTCAAAACTCTTTTTGACATTGTTAACCCGAGAAAAATTTTAAGTTATATTAAAGAAATTAGACTGTTTAATAGGATATGAAAACATTAAGTTATCGTTGTTGGTGTATATACATACACTGAAATAAATAATGTTAATACAAATGTATACAAGTATAAGAGTCTTTACCACATTTACAAACATTTTCATAAATGTCTGTCCGTCCTTTTGCTTTTAGTATGATGATGAAAATATGACCGTGTGCAGTTGCGAGCGCAGAAAAACTCTTACTAAAACATGACAAGATCCTAGATTTGTTGCAGTAAAACCTGTTGGCACTTAAATGACCAAAATTGAGTCGATAGTGCAGTAAAACACCTACTCAATCAATCAAGCAATCTAGATGCAAGACTGGTATTGGTTGTTTTTCTTTTGTTGTTGTTTTTTTTAAATTTTTGGTAAGTGTTATACAGTGCTTGCAACTGCATATTCATATTATGGTCATATGAGTGCGCGGGACACATTAAACATTTTTGGTTATTAAGAAATTTTGAATTTTGCTCGTGTGGCGGGACCACAGATATTTTTTGCCCTTGTCTGAGAAGGCTAGGTGTAGATCTTTCCTACCATAGATCAGGAGTGTGGCTGAAAGACAGCAGTAAGAAGGAGCCAAGGAGTAGCAGTAGAAAGGCTTCCGAAAAAGTCAGATACCCAGAGGAGGGGGCAAAGGAGGTGAGGCGCTGGGGGCTGAAAGTGGAGACGAGAGCAGACATTAGAACATTGCTAGAGAGCAGGATAGGAGGTGAAAGGAGACAATTTTACTTTTTTAGAGAAGAAGATTTTTCCGTCGCTACCCGAATTCGAACCCAGGACCTTTGAATAAGAGGCGGACACCTTAACCTCTAGGCCACAAGAGCCCCCTCAGATAGATATGATGGCGTCTTATCTTTAAGACATTTATAACAGATGGTAGAAACTCTGTACTGGATTCTTTTATCAACTGGAAGCCAATGCAGAGCTTTAAACATTTTTTATGCAGGATCTTTCTTTTTTTTCTTCACTACACACTACTGTCAAAATGAAATTTTGTAATCGTGTTTATAGTCAGTTTGTGTGGGGTAATATATTTGAAGGCTGTTTTTATGCTTTGATGAAAGGTAACCATTGCAATAGAACATCTCAATCCTTTTTAGAAAAAAGAAAAACTCTACATGACATTCCAAAACTTTAGTATCGAATAGTGTTGACTAAGTGACGAAATATTTAAATACCAGGTCTAAATAAAAAGAGGACCCACTAAAACGGCAATGACTCGGTTATCTTTGAACCAGTTTTAATAAAACTTTACAGAAATAACATTCAGTGAACATGCCTTTCATTAAAAAAAAATTTAGTCAGTGTGGTCACAACACAATGATTTATGATTCATAATGACATGGGCTGGGAACTCTGTCAGAGATGGAAAGCAAAACATTTTTGGTAGGGGGCATTGCCTGAAGCCAACTGGTTCCCACGTGACACAATATCTTTTAATAAGCCCCCTCCCCACAAAAAAAAAAAGGAAAAACTGACTTCTGAAAATAACTTTTAGTGCCCAGGAGTCACATCAGTTAATTTTAAAGTAATAGGATATTGTGGGCCTTTGGATTCTTCTCCAGGTCAATTGGCTAAGATCCTGGTTTGCCTAAGATCCCGCATTTTCCTTTCTCCCGAACACCGGGGTCTTAGGCGGAGACTACTAAGGGGATCATTCTTAATAAGTATTGAGTACTAGTACTACTATTGAACGCCCACCACTAATTTTGGCGTTTGTGGTACTTTGTTTATGAAACAGAAGCGATCGGTTTCAGCAGTTACTGAATGGGTTAAAATGGCTTGGCTTTATTGTTTGAAAGGATTCCTCAACTCTTATAGATTCTTAGCTATTTCAATTACCTCAAAATATGTTATTGAAAGTCGATATTTTGATGCCAGCAGAATGTTTATGCCCAATGCCATCCTTTTAAGCTTCCAACAAGTATTTAAACTTTTGTATAGTCATCTTGTTTTCATATTGTCTTTCCAGAATTCCGCAGTGGGAAAACTCCCATTCTCCTTGCCACTGATGTTGCTTCACGGGGTTTGGGTAAGTCAGGAGCACTCATGGACAAAGCAAAATACGTTGAATGAAGATGTGGTGACATACAATTGTGATGAACCAGTAGTTTACGGTGATAAGTGATATTACATGCTGTTTCCTTTTTTTACTTTTTTTTTTTGGGGGGGGGGGGGATAAACTGGTTTAGTGCAGTGTATAAAGATTGTTCACATTATCAAAGTATGTTTGTCAGGAGAATATGCATGCTACTTTTATTATGACTTTTGTTCTTATGTTTATTGTAAGCGGGGACATGTGTGTGGTTTACTTCGAATCTTTAAGGAAGGCTGTCCAAGTCTAGATCGGGGTGCCAGAGAAACTTGTGTCTCTTCTTTCTTTGGTGTTCTTAATTTTAATTGTCTGTCTTACATTAATGTCATCCCTGTCCCCCCCCAAAAAACAACAACAACAAACAAACAAAAAACAAAGAGCAACTCTTTCCTAAGTAACTGAATATTTTTCATGCAACAGCGATATGCTGTCGGCGTATCCACTTCTCATTCTTTCATTTTAGTTCCTCATCTCTACTGCCTCCAATGTGCGCCAACCCTCCTGCCTTTTCAACATCCCAAATAAATAAAGGTTTGAAGGGTGACCTTATTTTTAGGCCACATATGGCCTCTTTAAGCTAAACCCCCTCCCTAACCTTATTAACCTATATAAGTTAAACCCCCTCCTTAACATATTTAGGCTGCATATGGCCTATATAAGCTAAAAACCCCTACCTAACCTTATTTAGGCCACATATGGCCTTTTTAAGCTAGCCCCCCACCTGACCTTATTTAGGCCACATATCGTAGGTCACCTGATGAAATCGTGAATTCATCTGCACTATTCAAAAGCCAATATATTACTTGGAATATGGTAAAAATGAAAACTGTTAATTCTTTTGTCAGTCAGTGCATTACAAATTTCATTACTGCATGTATTAGATTTCTAATAGTATTGAATGTTTGCCAAGATACTAGAAATGAGAAAGAGACCAATTGTAGAGACTCAACTCGGGGAATTCCAGTTTGGCTTTAGAAAAGGCAGGGGCTGTACTGACGCTATTTTTGCATTAAGACGGTTGTGTGAGACTGCCATTGCACATGACAAAGACCTCAGTATCGTCTTCGTGGACCAGGAAAAAGCATCTGTTTGACCGGGTAAATAGATGTCAACTTTGGGAAGTCTTAGAGGAATATTGTGTAACAGGACAATTGCTGGAAAACATCATGGCACTTTATAAAAACAGCCTGTGTGCCGTAAGATCAACAGAACGATTATCGGACTGGTTCCCGATCAAATCTGGGCTGAGACTAGGGTGTGCTCTCTCTCTGCTTCTCTTCATCACTTAAATGGATAAGGTCCCGAAAACAGCAAATGACAACATCACTGAACTGAACAAGGTTCTATTTGCTGATGACCAGAGTATACTAAATATTTTTTTAAAGTATGTCTCTCTCTCTCTCTCTCTCTCTCTCTCTCTCTCTCTCTCTCTCTCTCTCTCTCTCTCTCTCTCTCTCTCCCTCCCTCCCTCCCTCCCTCCCTCCCTCCCTCCCTCCCTCCCTCCCTCCCTCTCTCTCTCTCTCCCTCTCTCTCTCTCTCTCTCTCTCTCTCTCTCTCTCTCTCTCTCTCTCTCTCTCTCTCCCACCCCTCTCTTTGGGGGGTGGGGGTGGGGGGGGGGAGTATGTGTGTAGGCGGAAATTGGGTTGATGTGTGTAGGCGGAAAGGGGGTAGGGGTGTGAATTGTCAGATTCCCACAGTTTTAAAAAAAATGTTGTTAACCCACCCACTTTTAGCGGTTAATTTTGTTGCCTTTAGTTGAAGCTGGTTGATCTCTGACAGCTGTTTTAGAAAGCTTGAGGTCTGGTTCTTAAAACCTTTGAATGGCCTGACCAAAGCATATCATTTAATTGGCATCAAGTATTCATATTTTTTTGTTACCTTCCTACAAGATCACCCCAGAGTATCTTGTTATGTAGTTTTGATGCATTTTGTGTGAACTAGTCTACTATTTTCTGTCACCTGTTAGGTTCCTAACTGCCCAGTGTGTGTTTCAACAGAGCTGGTGCCTCGTCTGGACTCTGACCATGACTGGACAACCGTGCAGCGAGAAATAGGAGAGACAACCTACATCCCAAATACTCTCTGCCTACTTTCCTCATGACCCTCTACTCTTATGGGCCAGTGATCACGGACTGCCCTTTTCTGGGGGCCTGATGTTCATTGGATACTTTTTTTCTGTCTCCTGCCGGAGTGGCAGGGTACTGATTAGTATACTGTCAGTTCTGTCTTGTGGGACCAAGTCAGGATAAAGTACTAGACACTTGGTGGTCTCCTGTGTGGCAGGAGTTCAAGGACTGGTTGAGATCTCTGACGGGTCAGCTCCCTTATCTCCATGCGCTGCGCCCCCTGCCCCATGTACCTACAGGCTGACAAAGGCTTCCTCTCTTGCCATCAGTCTCCACTCACCCAGAGGGAGCTGGAGATGCTGAATAGATTGTTAATTTCCAAATTAAGCTGTTTCCATAGCATACCATTGTTGGTTGCAAGACTGACCTGTATGAAATGCGCCATTGAAATCCAAGCAGGCCCTTCTCCTTTGGGGGCCAGTGCAAGCGTGAGCAATGTCAGGGACGTGGGCACAAGTATGGGCATCACAGACTGGTCGCTGCAGTTTCTTTTGTGCTTGTGTAAGTTCTATATGGCACTCTTGTTTCAGTTATAGTCTGTGTCATATTTGTTGTAAATCTTTGTCTTTTTTTATTGTGGGATTATGTTAATGTTTAATGCGTCGTTAGTGTTTAAGATAAGTGCCATGAACAAGCACAACTCTCTACCACCAGTGTCCCATGCGTTTTGTGCTCACAAAGTGAAAAATATTCACTGACCTGACTTGCAAATTGTTTGAGCCAAACTTTACAAAATATGGCTGCAATAAATGGGATCTCTCAGCCCCTCAACCTGCCACACCACCCCTTCCAAATTTTTTTAAAGCGCGTTAGTCAACCATCTCTGTAGGTGATACGGCTCTCACTGTTTTCGCTTGTTCGCGGCTAAAGTCATGTGATCAGACGAGGTGAAATAAAACCAGGATTTTTAGTTTGGGAATTTGCCTCCATACCATACACTTATTTGTCTCCTCTCTGTCCATAATTTTTGTGGCTCCCTCTGCATCAAATGGGATGATATCTAAAGTACTGTTAAAAATATTTATCATAACATAAAGCATGGAGCAACAACTGGTTGAAAAAAATTGATTTGATTCTAAAGGTTACGGGGTTGTTTTTTTAAAGAGGGACGACTCAAATGGAACAAATTTTTCTTCATGATGTAGTGAATGTGAACTTGACAGTGTGATTAGATTTTAAGGAGTCTTGACGCCAATGTTGGAGTTTCCTATCTTCATATTTAGAGGCTATAGCTTGTTCACTCTTTTCTGACTGCGGTTAAGACAAGATAAATGAAATCGCTTTGTTTAACCCTATCCGTATCATTTTGTACCCCCCGGGGTTGTATTTTTCACATTTTAGAATACTTCTAGTACGAAGATCTCTGAAAATTTCAGTATTTCTCAAAGAATCATTTTGACAAACTGCTATGCAAAGCGTACGGATCGGATTAATGAGTAAATTTCCTCTTTGAAAGTGGTGGCACAGAGTTCTCCCCGTCATATGGATACAATACGTACGGATAGGGTTAATCTTTGCATACGGGTCCAAAAGTTGGATGACCAACAGAATCTAAAAGCCCATTCATAAAGATCACTGCAAATTAAGGTTCCAACCCATTTTATTTGATGTAAGCCTAAAGTAAGTAAAAAATAATAGTGGATTTATACATACACCTAAAACATTTTACAGTTGGCATATTTTCTTCAACAACACATTTTAATGTACGCTTGAGAAAATACAAGTAAAAAGACGGAGTAAGTCATTTTGGAGACGTCTTTGCAGTGGGGGATGAAGTCTACAAGCTTACACTACTGAAATGGGGGTGCAGGGTGGTGTTGCTGTTTCAAAATGAGCAATTTATAGGCAAGGTTACTGTAAGTCATTTATTTTAGTGATCCTATGTATGCATCCAAAGAGCATATTTTAATGTAAGACACAGAGAAAAACGTTTTTAATACTAACTGGATCTGGATTTAAAAAAAAAAAAATTTTTGTTTGGTTGCTGGCCTGAAGAAGTGCCGTGCAAAGTTTCATGGACATACTTAAATTGATAAATGAGCTAGAGTTTTTTTTAACATGGACAGACAAAAATGAACAAGCTGTAGTTGGTAGGTGCCATTGGTAGCTCCTTGTTTTCTTTCACTCTGTTGTTTCTGTTTGTCTGTTTTTCTTTTTTCAGCACTAAATGACTGTTTTTAAAGGTGTTGATGTGCATCCCTTTACTCAAACTATGGACCGAACAAATATCTTCATGTTTTGGGATACATTTTTCAGGAACACAACTTTGATTGGATGTTTTTTATGGGGTATTAGTTGTAGTGTAAGCCCATGGATGCAAGCTTTAAATGTATGTGTGTGTTGGGGATGGGGGGTGGGGTGGGGTACCTGAAGACCAAATTAGTTATTTAATTTAAGGGACTTATTTGGAAGGTGCTTAACAGGTGTAATTTTGCCAAGTTGAGAAAGGGCGATCCAGCATCGTGCAGCTTTTTGGGCAATATGTTTGCCCTGGAAATGTTTTTTTAATAATTCAAATGATATCATTTGAACAGTCAAACCTTGTTGTACCGCCAACCCCACTTATCGCCAGGTTTTGCCTTTTCACTAAAAAGAAAGCCTCTATATAAGTAAAATATTTGCACATTTATGTCACCATCTGCAAACTGTCTGAGTTTTACAGTCCTTATATAATAATAGATAATATTTAGCATTTGTGTTGCGCATATCCCCGCTGGACAGAAAGCTCTATGCACTTTACACTTTATTATTAAAACTAATGTAAATTTGCCCCACTAAGCCACGAGCAGACTAGCTGCCGGAGGTACACATGGGACATGGCACCCACTGGGTAGCTGCTTTATAATCTCTCTCCTACACATGTGTCTGCAAGCTAGGCCTAAATCTAAAGCTTGTGACTGATTTGCTCCCTCCCTTATCCATTCAACCTCCCCACCTTTGTCTTGTAGAATTCAGGCAGAGTGCACAGAAGATCGGCTTTTTTTTTGCCCTTCAAGTCAATCAGTCCTTGAGTCGATTTGAGTTATATAGACAGTGTGTGTCCTTTTAAATAGAACCCAACCAAAATGGCTGCTTAAAAAAAAAAAATTTTGGCGTTTTTATGTTTCCATCGACCCAATTTAAATCGTTTAAGGAGCAGGCTTCTAACTCTGCCTGTCAGGACCAACCCAGGCTGAGAGCGAAACAACATCCTTGCTTTATAAATGAAATCTGTTAATATTATTAGTATTATGATGTGCTTCAAGTTGCTTAACTCCCAGCAGTTTTGAATATTTTGGCTTTTTCATTTATGTCGCTGGGGTCCTCCATACCCTCAAGCCCCTTGCAATAATCTATCTACTCCAGATGAACATATTGGATTGTCTTTCAGACTTAGCCAATAGATTTCATTTTTTGTCTAGCTATCTTGAAGTGGGACTTTTTCTTTCTTGTTAATAAACATAGAAACAAAAACAAATCACACTTTTCCAATAGTCACAAAGAAGTGGGGAAAAAGTGTTTTTGAGAATTTAGAGTTTACAATTTTTTCATGGAAAAGTGCATTCAGTTCTGCATATTTTGTGTCAAAGATACGCCATTCAGTTGGAAAATAAAGAAATGAGTGCCATTCTATACAAGTGCATCCTACATTTAGTTATTGCTCTTGAATCTGGAAATTTCATGACTTTTTGCTCTCAAGCCTCCTGCAATAATCTATCTGTTCCGGATAGACATATACCAATAGAAAGGGAATTAGATGGTCTTTCAGACCTAGCCAATAGATTCCATATTTGTCAAGCTTTCTTGAGGTGTGACATATTTTTTGTGTTACTAATAATAGATGAAGAAATAGAAATCGGACTGCCCCAACAATGACAAAGAAGAAAAAAAATTTACAATTTAAAGTTTACATTAATTTGATAAGAAAGTACATTCAGTTTTGCATGTAATGTGTAAAAGACAACTCATTTTGTTGAAAAATAAAGAAATGAGGGCTGTTCTTGTGCATTCTACAAATTCTCGGTTATTGCCCTTGAAACTGGAAATTTCAGAGCGAGAATTTTATAATAAAACCCATCAATTTTAATACCTATTTTATATTTTTCAGTCTATTTAGTCTTTTTTATTTGATAAAAATACCATACAAAAACTTTCTTTATAAAAGTAAATGTATTTTATGGGCGAAATACCACATCACCAGCTATCGTATATATATTTATACGATATAGTTAGTACCTCATGAACTGCTGGGAGTTAACAAACGAAGGGGAGGGGGGTAGTGTTTTAGTCTGGCTGGAAGATATTATTAAAATTGAGAAGACAACGAAACAAAATGATTGCGTTGTGGTCAGCAAAAAGTGACGACAACATAGATCTACCTTGAAAGGGACTACTTTTTTTGTAGACTTAGGCAATTAATACTAATGTTTTGCCTGTTCACATAATTGAAAGTAGCTCCAGTGTCTATATAAGTTAAGAACAAGTCCCCCGTTCACTCCCTAGCCCAAGGATGATGTTGTTTTAATAACAACAGTTTTGCGCGACATACAATACAACCGAAACGCGATTTTTTACTATAGTCCCATGGGCAATGTATCAGGACGAAATGGAAAGAAAAACATGCGTGAGAGAAGCCATACATTCCTATTTACAGGGGGGATACAAAATTAAGCACACAAGTCCAGTTCTTTTTAAATTTATTTGGCTTCCATTGGGCTTTGCACAGAATTACGTTTTTGGAAAGAAAGAACACCCCTATAATTCATGAATTAATGCTATTGCATGTTATCTCTTGAGATATTCGTTAGTTGCTCTACACAAGAAAAACAAGTAGATTTAGCAGTTAAATAATGTTTTTGGGGTTCTAAAAAGCCTACCCCTCAGTTGGGTGACGTTTTGGCAATGGCTCTTATGGGTTACACTGGAAGATGGATTTACACTCAGTAACTATGTTTGAAGGGTATGTGAAGTTCAGAGAAGTGGCTAACTATTGGTGTAAAGATGATTTTTGTTGAGATGGAGAGGAAGAGTCAGTAATAGTAGGGCCTATCTATTATTTTATAGAATTAAATCATTGTTTTCAGGAGTACTTTAAACCTTAATTGGTCCTCCAATGCACTCTTCAATGCCCTCAACAGATGTGGAAGACATTAAATTTGTCATCAACTTCGACTATCCAAACTGTTCGGAGGACTATGTTCATCGTATTGGACGGACAGCACGTTCAACCAACACTGGCACTGCTTACACTCTGTTTACCCCTGGCAATATCAAACAGGCACCAGACCTGATCTCAGTGCTGCGGGAAGCGAAACAGGTTGTGAGCCCTAAGTTGTTGCAGCTTGCTGATTCCTCCAGGAACTACCAGGGAAAAAGTAAGACTTTCGTACTGCATTCTATGTATGAATATCGATTTATTGACGGTGCACTTCTCCACGCTTGAAGATGTATAATATATATGTGTCGCAACGTTGACGTTGTGGAATCAGGGGCTGTTTAATTTTTGGGCATGTGGGGTTATAGGTAACATTTTAAAGCCTGTTCTTTTGGTGAACAAAGTATCCATCTATGTCGAATAGAAGTCTAAATATTTGCGATTGAAGGTGGTCAGGGTTGCCTGGCTTCAGAAATGAAATTAGTGGGAAAATGGCAGCAACAGTTTGGTAATTTCCATAGCCTGAGAGTCCTTGGAAACTGTAAATTGACATTTTTTGTGCCTCTAACCAATGTTTTTCAGTAAAAATCCTCACAGAAATGTGTTTTAAAATAAATTGATATAAAAGGTGTCAAGCCGAAAAAAGAAAATTGGTTGGAAAAATTTGATTTCACAATTTTGATGAGAGCCTGATTTCACCACAATGCCTCACATATGTGTCATGACGTACTTGAATCAGGCGCTCATCAATTTTTGGGCATGAGGAGTTATTGCTGTCGTCTTATAGCCTGTCCATTTGACTTGCTTTTAATAAAAAATGTATATCATTTACCTTGGATACAAGTCAAGATATTGGCGATTGAAGGAGGTAGGGGTCACCTGGTTTCAGAGGTAAAACTAGGGAGAAAGTGGCCGCCAAAGTTGGGTTATTTCCTTAGCTTGAGAGTCTGTGATAACTGAAAATTCATCCCTTCTGCTGGGATCAACGACAAACACTCTCCCACAGACTGACTTTAAAAATAAAGTAAAAAAGTACACCTCCAGTCTGTGGGAGAGTCACTGGAAAAAACAGACGAGTAACAAACTCTATAATATTAAACCCAAACTGGGACCGCGAAATCCTTCGGACCTCTCCAGAAGAGACGATGTCATTTTTACTCGATTGCGCATCGGACACACGGCCCTGACACACAAATGCCTCCTTCAGGGAGATGAGAAGCCGTTCTGTGTCAGATGCAACACAGAATTTTTCCATTAGACACATTTTAACCGAATGTCTAGACTTTGGAGAGATCCGAATGAAATACTTTAAATGCAAAAAATTGCAAGACATTTTTTCCGTCGCTGGTCCCAACAGAATTTTGGATTTTATGAAGGCCATTGGCGTTTATGAAAAATTGTAGTGTAGAACAAAAGTGAATTATTAAAATTTTTAATGAAAATTGTTTTAGACTGAAATTTTATATCTACACCAAATTTTAAATACATGTATTTTAACGTTTTAAGATCAAATGACCCGTACCCAGCCGTGCAGTGAAAATGACCTGTGCCCAGCCGTGCAGTGAACTGCGTATAAGAAACTAACTTGTGTTTTGCACGCTCGTATGACCTTATGCAGTTGCGAGCGCCGTAAAACCCCATACTAAACTAAATCGCTTTCAACTCAGCGCTGGAACGTTTGTTTACACTCGTATCACGGGCCGTTACGCGCTAAGCAGACGAGGTAGATTTAGCGCCCAAGTCTCGTTCAGACGCGAGATAGGGCAATTTAAACATCTTAGTAGTACACGGGCCGTCACGGGCTAAGCAGATGAGGTATATCTAGCGCCCAAGTCTCGTTCAGACGCGAGATAGGGCAATTTAAACATCTTAGTAGTAGTTAGACAATCTATAATAACATCACGGTGCTTCATTTCTATTGTTAGTAACTTTGTCACCGGCATTCCGATGAATGATAATAATTATAATTAATAAAGGGTGATAGATCTAGGGGACCTACAACAATGTAGTCAACTCGTGAGGGAAACATCGGAAGACGACAAAAAAAGATGGCGGAAAAACATCATCTATGATCTATTTTAGGCCCATCACAGAGGTGTGTTAGGTGCTCTCAATAGCTTCATGTTGCCTGGAAGGCCGCGAGGCCGTGTTTACGCTACCTAATAGGAGGTGCCCACTACGGATGGGATTGCCCGACTCGGTCACCTCAAAAACAAACTTGTTTGTTTTCAATTTCAGGCGATTGAGTCGGGCGATCGGCTTGATCCAGCCGTAGCGGGCACCCCGTATAAGACCAAGACTAGATCTAAGTGACCGGCTCCGAGTGGGCAGAAAATGCTAGCCACCCGAGGTCGCAGAAATCCCCAGGGGCCAGTAGCATCACGCTAGCCACCCTAGATCGGGCGAGTAGCCTGACGCTAGCCACCCTAGATCGGGCGAGTAGCCTGACGCTAGCCGCCCTAGATCGGTCGACTAGCCTGACGCTAGCCACCCTAGATCGGGCGAGTAGCCTGACGCTAGCCACCAGACATCAGACGAGTAGCTGTGGCCAAAAATGTTTGTTTGTCATTTCTCTCTATGTACACCGTTTGGGTTTCAAATTGATATTCATATTTTAGCGAAACTGTTGCGCGTGGTTTTTCAGCTATTAAAAAAAAATATGAGTGGCTTCCTAGTAGTATCGAGACACTTACTATATTATGCAGTTGCGAGCGCTGTAAAACATCTACTTAAACTTTTAAAAGACTGTACTTAAAAATAGATAGCATTTGTATACAGATTCTCACTCAATAGCTAGCTTTATGCGCATTACAATCTATACGTACGTTACTGTTTTCTGCAGGTCGGAGTCGATGGGGTAACAAGGACCGAAGTATGGGCTTCTCTGATGGCCGTGACAGAGATCGAAGCTCCAGCAACAGAGGAGGAGGAGGGAGCTCATTTGGGTAGGGTCATGTTGAAGAGATGATTTTAGAACGAGTTTATTTTTGTGTGCTTTTTTTTTTGGATAAAAAAAAATAAAATAATCTCTATATTAGGCCTACTGGTACTTTTGAGTCAAGTTATGAAGACGTGATTTCATTGTTCATTGACGGATGACGATTTAGCATTATAACTGTTAGTGGCTATATGTTTCAATTCCTAAATTTTTAACTCGCTCCCTACCAGGCCTAAAACCACCATTGGACCAAGGCATTTCTATGATTTGTTTTACCAACAAATTTCAATTGTCTAGTTACCAGCTTGGAAAAATGTATTTTGGAGGTAAAAACTGGATGATATCAAACAGACTTAGAGTGAATGATGATAAGACAGAAGTTTTGTTTTGCAATGCCAAACCAGGGATACACCCCCAGTGGGTCGGGGGGATATAAATAGACCCACTGCTTCGTCTGCAGAAGGTGCAACCCCCTCAAAGGCGAAGTGTCGCACACGGACCCCAACCCTCTGGGATCCGTGTGCGACACTCACTTTGGTGTATCTTCCTCTTCTCCTTCCTTCTGTCTTTCTTCTTCTATCTTTTCTCCCACCGCTGACCTCAAGTGCAGTAAAAAGAGAGGTCACCCATTCTACAGCGTGGGCGCCTCGTTGACCGTGAGGGGCGACCCGTGCGGAGGGAAACCGGGTACCTGGCGGTTGAGGTGAGATCAGTCCACGGACTGTCCCTTGCCAACACATCTCTTTGGCCCAGGTTTTCCTCTTAGACGAGAGGGTGGCACGGCCCATGCGACTCAATCGGTTGAGAGCTGAAACCCCATCAAGCCCTGGGTCAATCTTGATGGGAGGGTCTTGTACTTTCTCGTTGAGAGTATAACTCCGGGGTAGCCCTGGCACAGCTCTGGTCATCCGAGCAATGTGTCCCCTTGTTGGGCTCCGTGGCAGGCGGGGAGCCCCGGAGTCGAATCAAATATAAAACTATCATGGATTGTAAAAACCCTAAAGACCCTTCCCCAGCTCCCAACGTGAAGAAGTCTCGGCTCGCGGAAGCAGGTGCGGCCGCCGAGCCGAGCAAAAGTTCAAAAAATTGTAAAAGGACCGATGCATCCTTCCTCCCTCCTCCCAAGGAGCTTCTGAGGCAACTGTACGTGGCCATCTCCAGTACAAAAGACGCACAGAGAAGAATTACCGATCTCAACCTCTTTAAGACAGGAGATGCACTACGGAAAGTTCTGGGATACATTCCCACATGTGTACAGAAGCTTTCCTGTGGTGCACTCCTTGTCAAGTGCGCAACCGAGAACGAAGTGACCAAACTCCTGGATACCACGACCTTCGGCGGTATTCCATGTAAGTCCGAGCACTACCAGAAATTTAACCGCTCGAAGGGTGTGGTCCGCAGCCATGAGCTGAAAGGCTGCTCCATGGAAGAGATTGTGGAGCACTGTGAGGGAGTGGTTGAAGCCTGCCGGATTACTCTTCGGCGGGGGGAGACTACTATTGAGACGAACACGATTGTCCTTACATTCGAATCGTGTCGCCCTTCAGCCACCGTTCGGGCATCTTACTTGATACTCGACGTACGACCCTATGTGCCGAACCCTCTGCGCTGTTTCAAGTGTCAGAAGTTCGGCCATAGCCAGTCACGGTGCCGTCACGCAGCCGTGTGTCCTCGTGGCCGACCTCCCAAAGCCTGCGGTCAACAGGCAAGTTTCTGTGCCTAAGAACAAAAAGCCCGCTACTATCCCTGTGGCAACCCCCTTTGAGGTGCCACTCTCTAAGTGCTATGGGGTTCTAGGGGAGGACGGGGAGGACTCTTCCTCCGCCCCCTCTTCTCCCCCTCACCATTCTTCTATCCCTTTTTCTTCTTCTCCCTCTTCTTCCACCTCACAGCCCATCCCTCTGATGGAGTGTGAGGTGGGCCTTCTCCCCTCCCCCCAGCCCCCTCCCCCCCCTCCCAGCCCCCTCGGTCGGCTCCACCTCCCCCTACCCCTCCAGCAGACAAACTTCTGCCTATGGAGGAAGACAGCTCCGTCCCCCCTCTCTGGCCTGACCCCGGGAAGGGCGAAGTCTGTCACTCCTCCAAATCCCCCACTAGACCGCCGTCCAATGTAGGACGGCAACCTAGAAAACACTCTGCCTCTCCAGCAAGGAGGAGTCAGAGTGTTTCTTCGAAGCCAGGGCCTTTGAGCTCCAAAATAAAAACTAAAAAATCATAATGGCGGTCCTGCAATGGAATGCCGGCGGAATCCGACCTTCCATTGCAGATTTGCAACATTTACAGGCCACACTGTGCCCACGAGTGGCCTGTATTCAAGAAACAAAATTCGCCCAGGCCTCTACCATAGACTTAAGAGGATTTACTACGTACCATCACATTCCCACGGAGAACCAGATTGTTTCCGGTGGTATCACCATCTACACCGACAACAACACACTCCACAGACAAGTACATCTTAAGACGACCCTCCAGGCTATTGCCGTACGGGTCACCCTGCACAGACCAATCACGATCTGCTCAGTTTATATCCCACCAAATTACCCCCACAAATTAACCCAACTAAATGACTTAAAGGCTCAGCTTCCAAAACCCTTTATTTTGCTAGGTGATTTCAATGCTCACAGTCCCCTTTGGGGAGACAAACCTACAGACCATGCCAGAAAGGAAAAATAATAGAAAACTTTTAATTTCAAAATAACATCTGTCTCTTAAATGATAAATCCCCAACTTACAGAAACAGAGCCACTTATGGCACTTCATCCCTTGACCTCACCTTTTGTACCCTTGACCTAGTCCTAGATCTTGAGTGGTCTATGCTGAATGACCGTACGGACCATTTCCCAATTCTTCGCAAAAATAATAGCCTCCAAAACGACCTGATCCCAGAACGCTTTAACTTAAAAAAAGCAGACTGGGACGGGTTTGCCAATCAATGTTCCCAGATTCTTAATCCCAATTTTGACCTCAACTACAATAAATTCCACGAAAAGCTTTTAGAAATATGCCACAAACACATACCAAATACAAAAACAAAACCCCGGAGGAACAAGATCTGGTTCTCTTGGGAATGTGAGGATGCAGTGAAGAAAAAGAAGGCAGCGTACCAAAAGGCCGTCAACAACACTCTCACAGAAAACCTGATAAACTATTTAAAGGCTCGAGCTGTGGCACGTAGATGCCTCAGGCAGCTGCACAAACTTGAAAAGTGGGCCAACAATAACGGTTTCAAGTTCTCCCCGTCAAAGACGGTTGCAGTACACTTCTGCTGAAGAGGCAGACGTGTGCTGCAGCCGGATTTGACACTATACGGGGAAAAGATTCCCGTCCAGGACCAAGCTCGTTTCCTTGGCGTCATTTTCGACAAAAAACTCACATTCATACCACACATCAAAGACCTTCGGGTGAGGTGCCAGAAAGCACTAAACGCTTTGAAAATTCTATCGCATCCGGAGTGGGGCGGGGTCTCAGAACACCTTCTCCACTTGTACATCTCCCTTGTCCGGTCCAGGCTTGACTATGGCTGTCAAGTCTACGGATCGGCAAAACCACACATCTTAAAAATGCTAGACCCAGTACAAAACCAAGGACTCCGCCTCACTCTGGGGGCTTTCCGCACTTCTCCGGTGGAGAGCCTCCAGGCCGAGGCCAACATACCACCACTCTCACTCAGACGCACACAACTCTCACTACAATATGCAATTAAACAGAGCTCAACACCGGAAAATCCAGTGCGCAACTGCATTTTTAAAACAAACCCTGAAACCATAAACAGATTCCAAAACAACGAAAAACTCGTCAAGCCCTTCGGCCTCAGAATCCTTGAGGACCTCAAAAACTTACACCTTTCCAAACAAGACATCCAGCAATTTCTTTTCCCCGACGTCCCTCCGTGGCACCTCACCAAGGCAAAAGTAGACTTACAGCTGACCACATACAACAAAGAAAGCACAAACACCAAAACTTTTAAAGCAGAATACAAAAAACTAATAGATAAATACCCCGGTGCGGAGCTCATCTTCACAGATGACTCCAAAAAAGACAATGAAGTGGGCGCCGCAGCCCTGTCTCCCAACAGTACACACCAGAGGAGATTCCATCCTGAAGCCTCCATTTTCTCTGCGGAGGCCACTGCCATTGACATGGCACTGGACTCCGTAGAAAATTCTCCTAACAAATCTTTTCTAATCCTTTCTGACTCTCTGTCTTGCATCACCTCACTCACCAACTACACACTCTTACACCCAAAAATAGTTAAGCTACAACAGAAAATTCACACACTATCCGAGACAAGAAAAAACATCATGTTCGCATGGATACCTAGCCATGTGGGCATCCGAGGAAACGAGCAGGTAGACGACCTGGCGAAGAAAGCTTCATCCCTTCTGCTGGGATCAACGACAAACACTCTCCCACAGACTGACTTTAGAAATAAAGTCAAAAAGTACACCTCCAGTCTGTGGGAGAGCCACTGGAAAAAACAGAAAAACAATAAACTGTATGTTATGAAACCCAAATTGAAACAACGAAATCCTTCGGACCTCTCCAGAAGAGACAAAGTCATTTTTACTCGATTGCGCATTGGACACATGGCCCTGACCCACAAATACCTCCAACAGGGAGATGAGAAGCCGTTCTGTGTCGCTTTACCGTTGGACACAAATTAACTGAATGTCTAGAGAGATCCGCAGGAAATATTATAAATGCAAGAAACTGCAAAACATTTTTTCCGTCGTTGGTCCCAGCAGAATTTTGAATTTTATGAAGGCCATTGGCCTTTATGGCAAATTGTAAAGTGAAACAATATTGTTAAAAAATTTTATTTGTTATTTATAAGAGTTGTTTTAAATCGCTAATATATTTACACTGAATTTGAGTATTTTAGCATTTTAAAGTCTACTTGTCGACCAACCGTGCAGTGAACTTTACTGTTGCAAATGCTACCAACTTGTGTTTCGCGCTCTCATATGATCTTATGCAGTTGTGAGCGCCGTAAAACCCTGTACTAAACAAACAAACAAACAATATCTTTTGTTGAGCACAGTCATGGTGGACTTGATGTACTGTTACAGTAAATTGTATGACAAATACACCTTACTCCATGATGACCTTCCCTGAAATGTTCCTTGACAGTTCTCGTCGATCCTTCGGAGGAAGTGGTGGAGGTGACCGGACAGATACCCATGACAAGCCAAAAAGTTTACATCAACAACGCTCTCAGCCACTGAAACCAAACATCTTCAGTCAACAAACACCAAGACACAGTTATTTCAGCACATCTAGTTTGCAGGTATTGATGTAACTCCTCTAATCTTCTGGCGCTCATATGACCTTATGCAGTTGCGAGCGCCGTAAAACCTCTATTAAAACTTTAAAAAACTAAAGTTACTTTTAAGACTAATTTATCTGTTCCCTGTGAAAGGAGAATTTTGTTACCAATCTTGTGACGTACCTCTCGGTCAATGTATACAGACCTGCCACTCATCCCGATTTAATTGGGATATCCCGATTTTTTGCCAGAAATCTCAAGCTTCCCGATTTTCCCGATTTCGATCGCCAGTGTCCTGATTTTTTGCTGTTGTGTTTGTTGCGTCCGATTCTTAGAAAAAATATATAAAAAGGTCTGCAATCTCTTTTGTTTGGAAGCCCTGATTGGGATTTTTATCAGCAGAGACTTGGAACGCTATTTTCTAAAACATCTATGCCGAATCTAGAAGATGACTCACGCACGTTATCTCAACTAAAATCGACATAGTATCGATTTTGAATTCCGACATGGATATGCTCAAAGATCTACTTTTGCTTTTATAACCCAGAATTCTCCGATGGTGTCTTGATTACTGTAACAATTATGACATGGGCCTAAGAATAATATATTCCTTGTTCTGCCGTTGCTTTAAAAGCAAGCTTCGTCTGAGTTCTGGTTAGTTGGGCCCATCATCAAGACCTGTCAGTGGAACGTTCAAACGCTCATTCGCATCACGTGACATGACCTCATACGTGTGGTGAGTAGCGCGTGTGTCGGGGACCGTCGGCTGTCAGGGTCAACAAAGTTCATTCACACTGGTCGCGTTGGTCGAGGTGTTTTCCGGGACTTAACCAGTGTGGAAGTCCGGGGGAGGGGGTGGGGGTATTGTTTTGACACTTGGGCTTTAAGTGCGTGTCGTGATACATGTACTAATTGAGGATGAAGGAATTTAATAAGAAAAAACAAATAAATGAACAACGTTGACGCGATCTTTTTTTTTCGGGGGGGGGTGCCTTGAGTGTATATGCGATGGAAGTCAAACGTTGTTACTGAAACTGAATGAAAACGCGGGCTTTTTGCATGGATGATTAGAGTTATGTGTCAGTTATTTTCAAGACTACGAGAATTTCAGCTTTACTGCAACCTGCGCTCCCACAGTCATCGAACTCCGACTCGAGTAATGCTGTCTTTCAGTTTTCTCTCTATTTAGAGGCCCAAACGTGAACTTTTTCCTGCAAAAGTTTTCTCTCGCATACTTGCCTCATAAAGGGGAACCAGGACCCCTTCCCCACTTCCCCAGTACCCCTTATTACTGATTTGCCGTTGATCCCGATTTTTGTCCCCAGATCCTGATTTTTTAACTCTAAAATCCTGATTTTTACATTTCATAGAGTGACAGGTCTGATGTATATATAATATAGGTGGGTCCCTAAAATGTAGCACAGAGGGTTGATGATCAAGTTTGTAATATTTCATTTTTGCTTGAATTTTTTTATTCATTCATATCTCCTCCTACAAAAACATGTATTTACAGACCTAGAGACGGCATGCTAATCTGTTTAACTAACGTCAAGTCAGATACAAAATTATTTCAACAGTTTTCTTATTGCTTTTTGTAAACCAAGTAATGGTCAACATCGCACTGCGTTCCAATATTCAAATAGTGGTAGATCTAGATGCAACCACGCGTGCTTGGCTAGAGGTCAACGAGGGGGAAAAATTTGATGTAAATTGATATGTTCCAAAATGACGACAAACATTTATCCACTATGATGACTATATGTCATCGTGGTTATATTCGAAAGATATGTGGTATTTTGCATAGAGTCATGTGAATTAAGTGGCATTTTTTCTCCATTAGCTTGCATTATGAGTCAAACTGAATCTCCTGAATCTTTGTTTACCAAAATTTCCAAACAAATGAATTAAAATATAATGACAATGGAAAGTTTTTAATTTCTTTCAGACATAACAAATGCAAACACAAAGACATTCAGAATTTCTTTTTTCTGTGATCTTATATGCTCTTCATGCTTATGTTTGAACATTAAAGCAATGAGAAAACTATTAAAATAATTCTATATTCCATAAATCACGTTTCAGGGTATTTTTCATTTTGTGTCATCACGGTTATGTTCGAAAGATATTAGATATTTTGCAGAGATCATAGTAAAATGTGAATTAACTGGCCTTTTTTCATCATTAACATGCATTGTGAGTCAAACTGAACCTTCTGAATCATTGTTTGCCCAAATTTTCATAAAAGAAATTATGATGTGAAAACGGAAAGTTTTTCATTTCTTTCGGACATAACTATGATGACCCAAATGCAGACACAACAACTTTCTGAATTTCTTGTTTCTCCGATCTTCTCCATTTTATATGCTCTTCATGCTTATGTTTAAAAATTGAAGCAATAAGAAAACTGTTAAAATAATTTTGTATTTTTCAAATTCTAAAAAAATGTGTCATCATAGCTATGTCTGAAAGAATTTGACTTGACGTTACGTAACGCCAGTTACACAGCATAGCATGCTGTCTGTAGGTCAGTAAATACATGTTTTTGTAGGAGGAGATATATACATGAATAGAAAAATTCAAGTAAAAACGAAATATTAAAAACTTTATAATTAACTTATACTTGAATGTTTAATCGTATAGAAACAAAACTGAAGATATTTTCGACATCATCACAGAGAAAAATATTGACATCTTTTTTCTCACTAAAACTTGGTTAACACCATATGGTGATGAGGTGACACTCGCTAATTTAGTACCCCCAACCTACATCGTTAAATCTTTTCCACGCCAAGGTTGAAGAGGGGGAGGCATTGCTGCTATATACAGAAGTTCTTTGAGCCTTAAAATAACAACTAGTGAACTTAAGCGTGACCACGCAACGTTTGAAGATATGAATTGTCTATGGATCTTGGTTCCAAATTTTATAAAGTTTTTTTGTATTTACTGCCCACCATACAGCAAGATTAACAAGTCAACCGAGTCTGCTTTCTTAAAAGAATTTGCAAAGTTTTTATCGTCATTTTCGGTCAAGAAAGGTTATCCTGCTGTGCTTGGTGATTTTAATTTCCACTTTGATTCTCCATCGTCACCTGGAGTCAAAACATTTGACAGAATTATTCAGACAGCACAACTTGGTTCAGGTCGTCACTGAATCCACCCATCGTTCTGGCCACACAATTGACGGGATCGTCATCAAGAAAGACTCAGACACTTTTAGAAAAATTTCTGTTGTAGACAAACTATTTTCTGACCATTACTTCATCTTGTGTTGGATGTGACTAAGACCAGGTCTGAAAAACATTCTGTGTCTATAAGGAACATCAAAGGAATTTACATTAACAGTTTAAAATGGATTTGTTGAAATCTTTAAGTAACTTTAAAACAGTCTGTGTTGATTTGTATAATTCCACTGTTAGGGCAGTTCTGGACAAGCACGCACCACTTGTAACTCGTCTATCGACTAGACTGTATGCACCATGGTTCGGGGTAGAGGTGAAAGCAGCCAAAATCGAATGCAGGAAGGCAAAGAGACAATAGCTTAAAATAAGGCTCACCATCCACAAGCACACTTTTAGATTAAAGAAGCCAGAGCTGAAATTTGTAACTTAATGTGCTAAAAAGAAATACTATGTTTCTAAATTGGAAAATTCAAAATCATGTACATGTAAACAATTATTCAGCATTTGTGATGAACTATTAGGAAGGGTCAAAGAGACACGTCTCCCGAATTCTTTTAGCGATCTAGAACTACCCGAAAAGTTTGCTGATTATTTTACAGATAAAGTCCAGAAACTAAGAATTGACATTGATGACTATGAAACATGTGGTGATTTTGATGTATATGATGGAGTGATTCTTGATAAATTGAAACCTGTTTCTGAAGAATACATTAAATCTGTAATTCTAAAATCCCTTAGCAAACATTGTGATCTCGACCCTGTCTCTAGTTCTCTGTTGTCTCCTGCATTGACAAACTGATCCCATTTATTACTAAAATTATAAATAATTCTCTAGTGTGTGGATCAGTACCAGATTCATTTAAAATCGCTCTTGTAAAACTTTTGCTAAAGAAACAAAACTTAGATCAGAATGTAAGAACTATAGACCTGTTTCAAATCTACCTTTTTTTTGTCTAAAGTCCTTGAAAAGGTTGCCCTCGAGCAGCTTCGTCATCACTTAAAAGAGAAAAATCTGTTACAGCCATTCCAGTCTGCCTATCGAGCTAATCACAGCACAGAAACAGCACTTCTTAAAGTCATAAATGACATGCTTACTGACTGTGATTCAGGAAAAGTTGTTTTGCTGTGCCTTTTAGATCTATCCGCAGCTTTCGATACAATTGACCATCATTTTTTATTGAACCGATTGAAAGTGTCTTTTGGATTATCCGGGACTGCCCTTATCTGCTTTTCTTCTTACCCGTCAAATCGATACCAGTTTGTTGTTATTAAAGGCCTTCAGCATCATTTAGTTTCACTGCCCTTCTTGTGTCAGACGTTGGCACTATGGACTACGCCAATGACCTATCAGTATAAGTTGTTGGCTTGGTCATCTCTGCAGTACTGACAACAGTCTCCTAACTACCCGCGCCAGCTGCAGAAGTTGTTTCTGCCGATGAAGAATGATCTATCCTGACCCAAAAACCAGGGAAAAAAAGGTGTTTCAAAAATTGGCAGAGAAGCAAATATTTCTCAGCGAGTCGAGTCAAGGGCCCAACGACCCGCACGCCAACTTCTGGAACCTTGTAACCTGCAACGGGTTCGGGTGCAATTCTCGTTCAGATCGTTCAGACGAAGACAGAGCAGTGACCCTTGACTATACTATGTGTGGTCATTATAATAGGAGACTTAAAAAAGCGTACGTCAACTGTTTAGTTGACAGGAAGTGGACAACTTCAGAGCATCCAAAGGGTCTCTCTTCCTTGCTCAGAGTCATATCAGTACCTTATAATAGTTATAAAGGAAGGTGGAGTAAGAGTTGTGTTTGCATGAAAATGTTTACCATTACCCTAGGCGATTTAGGCGACTGGACGATTCGAAATTCCACTGATTCTTTAGGGTCAGATTCAAAACTGCCAAAGGCAGATTCACCCTCCTGTTTGAAGTGATGAGAAAGTGTTTCTGTAGATTAATTCTTTGGAATATTACTGAAATTCCGTCTTACTATTGTCGAAAAACCTCGGCAAAGTGTTATCAGGGGCCCCATTTTCGTTCTCTCGTGGAGTACCAGTACTTGAAAAGGTGTGAGGAACTGGGCCGCAAGGATCTGGGACTAACAACGTTAAAAGAATAGTTTGATAACAACAATTTGAAGTTGCATCATCCCAGAAAGGGCCTGTGTGATTTATGTGAGTCTTACAGGTTCTATGCGCGACGATAAACTCGAGCAGAAACCTTGTAAGTTCTTTTTCTTTGCAATTATTCATTTTACTACTTCAGACAGCATGTGAGAAGGTGAAGAATCCTGGGTCTGAGTCGTTCCTAGTCAACTTGGGTATCCCCATCAGTCATATGGAGGCTGCAAAAACGATGGCGAGCAGCGGAAGGGTCCAGGAGAGGCCTCGACCAGGGTGGCCCCGTTTGACCAAAGTCAAGATCGACCAGTTCATTGTCAGACACACCGTGACGTCACGAGCCACCACTGCAAACCACATCATGGGCCAACTACGGGTAACAGCCAATGTCCACGTGGACGAGGAGACGGTGAGGAACCGTCTTCGTTGAGCCAGGTTCGCTTCTCGTGTCCCTGCCAGGCATCCAAGGCACCCGCTGCCCCACAAAGCAGCTCCCCGAGCATGATCTGCTCGCCTTTCACAGCGGACACGACGTCAGTGGGACCAGGTAGTCTTCTCGGACGAATCCAGATTCAATTTGCTGAACCCAGACAGGCGAGCCCACGTCCGGAGGCGCCAAGGAGAGCTGTTCCACTCTGACTACATCCCGCAGGTGGCGCCCTACGGTGGAGGGTCCGTCCAAGTGTGGGGAGGCTTCTCAGCTCACCACAGGACCCCCCTCCCCCTCCTTGTACCATACAAGGCAATTTGACCGCGGCAAGGTCCAGGGATGAAATCCTGCGTCCCCTTGCTGTTCCTCTCCTGCAGCAGATTGGACCCCAGGCTGTTCTGCAGGATGACAACTCCACGTCACATCGCCCACGCATCGTGGGGGACTTCCTGCAGCACCGAGGTGTCGCCCGCATGGACTGGCCAGCTTGTAGTCTGCATTTGAACCCAAAAAAAGAACATTTAAGATCATATTGACCGACGGATAAAGGACAACCACCCTCCTGCAAAAACCTTCAACTACTCATGGGCTACCATGTCCAGGAATGGCAGAACCTACCGCAACAAGTTCTCCGAAAACATGTCCTGTCCAAGCATCCACGCTGTGCTGAGTGTTTGATCAAACAGGGTAGCCACACCCACTATTGACAATGTTCATGGCTGTTCAGAATTTTAAAATCCGATCAGTGTAATTTAAACTAATTTTACATGAACTTTTCATTGTTGTTGAAATCTGAAATTGTACACACTTAATCCAGAAAGTCAAAAGCATTTTTTGGAGAAAAAAAAAGAATAAATTCGGTGAAACTGTTTTTCAGTTTTAGAATCTTTCTTTGAATTTTTGTTATTTGACTTTTGTGGCAGTTTTAGTTTCCCTTGATAACTGCAGGTCCAGTGTGCCCTGTTATCTGAGTTTGACAGTAATTTTTTTCACTTAAATTAATTGTTTTTGCGCTGAAGAATGTTTTGAAAACAATCGGAAAATTTTCAGGATCCGAAAATCTTCGCTACGTGGTGCTAGATTGTAGTTTAGACACGTGATGAGAATAGGGCCACAACAGCCAGCATCTACTGTGGCCTGCAATGAGAATTGGTGGCTTCAAGGAAAGAGGAAGGCCAAGAAAAAGATGTGTTGATGGAGATAAAGACAACTGTCCAAAGGAACAACATGACTATCCAAAGGGCAACACAACAACTGCATCAACGTTTTGTGGTACAAAAGTACAGAAAAAAACAACTAAAGTATTACTAGGTGAATTTCAGTAACGTCATATATTAGAATTGCTCCTATTCTTAGTACCTGGTAGCAAGTACATGTTGTAATTATATTAAATATGCCCGCACCAAGTTCTCTTATTTCATATTCAGTTATTTAATTTCTCTCCTCCAGAATCAGTCAGCACCAGAACCTCTAATGAACTCGTCTCCTGGAAATGTTCAGAACAGTGGGAACCAGCACTCGTCACGAGGAAATTTTCAGCCTGCCCAACAAGGAGGTTTCAACCAGAAGCTGGCAAGTTTTTTTCTCTGTTTTGTAATGTTCTAGCTCTAAGGGACATTTTAAATAGGGAGTGCCTATAAGTTATTCAGGCCACATATGGCCTATATAAGGTGAACCCCCCACCTAACATTATTTAGGTCACCTGTGGCCTAAATAATGTTTCCCCCTCCCCGGGGCATTATATAGGCCACATATATGCTCAAACTACCCTTTTCACGCAACTGAGTTCATTCCACTTTCGTAATGGTGCACCTTTCTCATTTAGAACAGTTTTGCCTCAGTGTACAACTTATAACTCATAATCATAATGAAGATAGTAAGAACAAAGCACAATACGCAAAATTTTGCTCAATCCTAATGGTTTGAATGAGGGCCAGATTTTTCCTTCATGAAGGGGCAAAAGCTAGGCTACCATTTTGGCACACTTTGGTCTAGTGAAAAGGTCAAATCCTCTGAATGGACTTCCGGGTCAAATTTTGTGTATAAAAAGTGTGTACACAAACAACGTGCCTGAGTCAAAGTTACACTATCTTTGCCTGTGTCAAAGACGGTCTTTGCCTGTGTGGCACTCTCTCGTACTGTCTCGTAGTAGTAGTTGGCCTAGTAGATCTAGTAGCAATGATCGTGTAGAGAATCCTTGGTAGTACAGTGGGTGCCGCTTTCAACGAGGTCACATTCAACGAGAAGTCGGCTCCAACAAGCCAATCTTCATTCCCCGATTTTTTCCTCTATATCTCTTTGTAAATGTACGTCAGCTCCAACGAGGTTGCAAACAGACCGAAGTCGCTTTCAACGAGCTCACGATAATCAAATAAAAGCAATTAGCGGCCCCAAAAGCGAAGAATTTTTCTCCTTTTTCTTCGTCTCACTCGAAGCACAAGGCCCATCCTCAATTCCTGACACACTGTCTTGCTAGATCTTATAGTGTGCCCCCTAATATGGGCCCCAAAACCAAGAGGATAGGGGAGGGCTAGCTTACGGTAGGGATGGGAGAGGATGGGTGGGAACTCGATGTGGGTTGAAACTGGATGCGGTCGGTCTAGATGGAGACCATTTTTTTCAATTTTCCTTTCTTCCCCTGATCTAAAATCCAAGCTCCCGCCTTTACTTTATGTAGATATCTAAGCCTAGATTTGAGAGGGTATGTTTCTACACGATGAAGTGTTCCGGAAAAAAAAAGAAGTAAAACTACATAAATGACTGTAAAAACACAGCTCAAACACGCGCACACTGTTGTGGGCCCTATCTTCCAACAGTACACACCGGAGGAGACTCCATCCTGAAGCCTCCATTTTCTCTGCGGAGGTCACTGCCATTGACATGGCACTGGACTTCGTAGAAAACTCTCCTAACAAATCTTTCCTTATCCTTTCTGACTCTCTGTCTTGCATCAAACTACACACTCCTACATCCAAAAAAGTTAGGCTACAACGGAAAATTCATACACTATCCGAAACAGGAAAAAACATCATGTTCGCATGGATACCTAGCCATGTGGGCATCCGAGGAAACGAGCAGGTAGACGACGTGGCGAAGAAAGCCTCATCCCTTCTGCTGGGATCAACGATAAACACTCTCCTTCAGACTGACTTTAGAAATAAAGTAAAAAAGTACACCTCCAGTTTGTGGGAGAGCCGCTGGGAAAAACAGAAAAACAATAAACTGTATGTTTTAAAACCAAACTAGAACAGCGAAATCCTTCGGACCTCTCCAGAAGAGATGAAGTCATTTTTACTCGATTGCGCATCGGAAACACGGCCCTGACCCACAAATACCTCCTACAGGGAGATGAGAAGCCGTTCTGTGTCGGATGCGACACAGATTTTACCATTAGACACATCTTAACCGAATATCTAGACTTTGGAGATCCGAAGGAAATATTATAAATGCAAGAAATTGCAAGACATTCTTTCCGTCGTTGGTCCCAGCAGAATTTTGAATTTTACGGAGGCCATTGGCCTTTATGGCAAATTATAAAGTGAAATCGTATTATTAAAAATTTTATTGTTATTTATAAGAGTTGTTTTAAATTAAAAATGTATTTACTCAGAATTTTAATATATTAGCATTTTAAAGTTCAAAAGATAACCAATCGTGCAGTGAACTGTTGCGAATGCAAACAACTTGTGTTTCGCGCGCTTATATGACCTTATGCAGTTGCGAGCGCCGTAAAACCCTGTACTACTAACTAAGCCTAGAAAACCTGATATTTGGTTAGACTGCACCTTACGTCGAACAAAGAGAGTGATGGACAGCGTTTTCACACCCAACTTTCCACTGACACATACGTCTAGGACTGGTCCGTGAAATGTTGGGGGGTTGGGGGACTGAAACTTTGTTTGATTGGTCACTGGAAATACATCTGTTTTGAGAGATGGTTTCTGACTGGTGTTTGAGTTTGAGTGACTGTGTGTTGGCTAATGTTTAGTTAGACCTAAGCATATGATGCGCAACACGCGTGAATGCTCCTTCATGAATTTACGGTCGGGGGTGGTCGCTTGGAAAGCCACGTGGCTGAGCCGTCGTCTCTATGACTGTCACCAAAAATTTCTTTTCAGGCTATTGGTTCCTGACATTTTATGGTTCATTCATTACATCAAGTCTGTCTTTCTGCGCCCCCCCCCCCACACACACCCATTCAACGCCTCTGCAGTCTTAACCGGAGTCGGGGAATCTTTTACAAAACAGTCACGTGTCGTCACATTATCAGCCAAAGTGACCCCCACCCCAAAGGGAGGTAACTAGTATATCAAGGCACTGAGAAGACTGCGTCCCTTCCTCTCTTTGCTGAGGTTCATGTAAACGCACGCTCCGTATAAACACACGCTAAGGAGCCCTCCCGAGCACCGTGCGTTTAGACGGAGACTACTGTTTTAAAACTTTAAAAAACTAAAACTATGTCAAGTCAACCTCCATGAGACTATGATACTAAAAAAAAAAAAAAAGAAAAAAGATGAGGACGAAAACAAATCACTGGAACAGAAAGATGCAATAACTTATAAATTGGTAGCGGGTTGTCTTTGTTATAAAAGTTATCTCATTCATTAACCATTAGTTGTCTGTGACTTGTAACAGGGTTCGGATACATATTATATAAAAAGGATTTCACGTTGGTGCCGGCAGTCCTGTATAGCCAGGGACCATTGTATCAGTTTGTAGGATTCAATATGTAGTGTAGCAAATGTACAAAAAATGTATCTTATTAGAAATTCTTTACAAACTTTGGCTTGTATGAATTAATGCAGGTCTTTTCTATAATTGTAAATATTTTCCTTTTTTCTTCCTTCGTCTGTAGCCGCAAGGTGGAATGAATGTGACAGGTTTCAACAATCAAGCTGTGTTTCAGGGCCAACTGCAACAAAGCTGGCGCCAAAATCAAAACATGCCACTGCAGCAGTTCAGGCCGCCTCTGCCCATGAGTAACCCACCACCGCCTCCACCGCAGAATCAAGGATTTTAAGCCTCCTGCTTCCCTATTTCTCTGTCTGTGACAGGAATAACCAGGGATGCCAATTTTTTGCGGGGTTTTCTTTTTTTCTTTTTGTTATATATAATGTATGTTCCATTTTTCCTGTTATTATCATATGGTGAGAAGAAAAGTTATTATCCTCAGCATTTGTTTTTTTGTTTAACCCTGTATTGATTGTGTCCTTTAAGTTTGTTTTTGTTTGCAAGTGCGACTTACTAAATTTTCACCTATTTTCACAAAATCCTAGTGGCAATTCCTGAAGAACAATATTTGTGTACAGAAATCATGTGTAACTGTTTTTCTCTCTTCGTCCCACATATTCTTTCATTGTCATGTTAATCACATTTAACAGGCACTTGATGTCAGTGTCCACCGTAAAGTATAGGAGGGGAATGACGATTATTTTAGTCTCTTCATAATAAAACAAAAAAGCTTTATGATGTATTTGGTTCATGCTCTTTGAGGACTGATGTTTTCTTTTTACTTTCACTCTCCATCTTTTATTTTTATTGGAATATTTTTATTTTCACTTCAGCTTCACTTAACCTCTCTCTTACTTATTGACACCACGTTGATTTGTTATTTTTATGTGAAAAAAAAAGTACATTACATACTATTTATATTGCTTTTTGTTTTGTCGGAACAGTAGGCTACTGGCTCTGTAAATGCGTAATGTATATATATATATATATCCCGAACATAATTGTTTCTTTAAAAAAGATACCTTACCATATGTCCTTAAGCACACTTTTGTATTTGGGAATACTGTTTTTGGTAGGTTACTCTTCTTCTAGGTAGCAACTGCGTTTATCGCGGCCACTGTTTTTGGCATGGCCACGATTTTTGCATTTAAAAAAACAAAAAAAAACACTGCCAGGAAATAAAATATTTTTTAAAAAACGGAAAAGAAAAAGAAACCGAACCTCTTTGCTTTTTGAAAGAAAGTTTATTTTCACTTCAGCTTCACTTTAGCTTCACTTTGTCTCTTTCTTACTTGTTGACACCACATGATTTGTTATTTTGATGTGAAAAATATAAGTACATTATATACTATTTATATTGCTAATTTCTCTTTTATTTTTCCTTCTTTGTTGTGTTTTAATTTGTTTGTTGGTGTGTTAATTCTTTTTCTTGTTATTGTTCTGATGTGTTGTTTTACTATTTTTTGTTTTTAGTATATAGCGTAATGTCATTTAATTTGATGTTTTTCCTACCTTATTATATATAAATGTGTTATCGTATGATAAGATAAGATAAGATAAGATAGTACTTTATTATCCCAGAGGGAAATTTTCCTTGGCTGTACAGGACCGTAAAAACACATGCAGGTATACATAAAAAATTTTAAGTCATATATATTACTCTCATTAAAATTCAATATGAAAGGAGAAGTAAAGCTGACAAAATGTACATTTACATCAAATGCATCATTCAACCACATGCAGGAATTTAAATAGTACATACTCAAAGAACAACACACATTTATGCTCATTCTGACAAATTCGGCGAAAGTGTCTACCGTATGCCAAGACGCCCCCGACGGCTCCAGAAACGAAATTTAATTCTAGCTTTGATTTTATTCCAATCGAACATATCCATGTTAAAATGAGTGTTATAATCAAGGAGTTTACAGTAATGGAGGATGCTCTGTGGGCGGCACGGCATGCCTGATAGGAGCCCTTTCTCGCAGCGGAACTGTGGTCTACCTGCGCTGCGCTCACACAGTGAAATCTAGATAAGAAAGAAGGTTTTATTCCGAGATTAGGCAAGTCGATTAGTAAAGATGCCTCCACCTGTGTTGTGTGTAAGTGTAAGAACCGATATGATGCTGCAGTGGACAGAAGTTTTCACAGGTGTTGTTTTCCTTTGAAAAAAATCTGAATGTAAGTTTTTTTTATGCCCCCAGCGACACAATTTAGATCATTAACACTTATAAGAGGCTGGCTCGGGCGCTACCTGCCAAGGCCAACCCGGGCAGAAAGGGATACACTGTAACAACACCCCAAAAGAAAGACCGAGATACTTGATTTAAAAAAAATATTCTTATTCTTGTGTGTATGTGTGTGTGTGTGTTTGTGTGCGTGTGTGTGTGTATGTATATATATATACATATATTAAACATTTTAATTAAAGTATATATTGCTTTTCATTGTGTGTGTAAATTACATGCTATGCGTAGCAGACCTTTATTTTGACGGGACAAAATCTAGACTCTAGGTTTCTACATGTATCTTGTTTTCATATATTTACTAATCATATAACACACCTTAGTGTATTGAGTTCAATCAGTCAGTCAGACTTGCTTTATGTTTTTTAAGCCCATTCATCTCCTAATTACTATATAAGACTACTGTTGTCTAAATGTAGATATCGAGAGGCTCCATTAAAATATTAAATCAATACCCAACAACAATAATGATGAATACTTTCTATGTTAAAGAAACACCAAACCATATCAGATGAAGGGAGGATGTAGGGTGGGTGGATAAGAGTTTGAGTCTTATTTGATAGAACTATACTCGGTTTAGATCTTCTATTGTAGTAGTCTTCACCTAAGATCCCACAATTTATAAATCCGGTTCACTTAAGATTTTGCTGTTAAAAAATAAACCAAACAAAGCAACAATAAATTTTACGGCACTAGTCATCCCTAAGATAAATTATCCCCCTCTGAAGTTTTACTGAACAAAAAAAGCCTTCAAAGGTCACCAGCTGCGCTCTAAATCTCAATGCAAGGTACACGTTTGCTCCAGACGCAAGGATTTTATGACAAAGGAATCATGCCCAGGTGTGAACTCCTCATGGACGCCTTTGATTTTGCAGAACATCAAACTCGCAATAATAAGAAGAGCCTATCGCCTGAGCTTACAGCCAAGGCATGTTTCGTTAGGTAGAGCCAACAAGGCCCCTCATAACCATGTCTACAATCATGCTGTCATATTATCTTAAATTCAGTTTAAAAAAATAAATTTTTCACCATTTCTTATTATAATTAAATCTTATAGTCATGAAAGATAAATCTTTATAATTTGGTATGTTTGATAATTTTATGATACTTGGATAAGTTTTGTTCTTATTTTGCAGATCTTCTTAATTTTTAAACTAGCTATATATAACATAATATAAAACTCTTAAATAATTGAACAGTCCTTAGGCTTTCTCAGGTGCCTAGAACAGTCCATACCACACTCACAATTTAATTTTTTTTTCTCCCTGTCATTCTATCCGTCATCCAGTCAGTTGATCTCTCTCTCTCTCTCTCTCTCTCTCTCTCTCT